GTATTAATCATGGGATTTTACATAGTGGTAGTGGGTACATAAGTTCAGGTAAGGTAAGTTGAGTGCTTTAAAATTTTCTCAGAATTCTTTCATCACTGGTTTATATTCAATTCAATTCAATTCAATTTTTTTATTTATTTCATAATTTTTTATATAATATACACTATAAAAACAAGCCGCTAGACACCCTAGTGTATATGTTGCAGTTTAACAGAAATTATTAAAATGACATCTAGACTACATATAAAAGAAAACACTTATATTATGTTACATGTAGGTATATAAAAATGGTATTAACAATTTATCTAAGGATGTACAATGTAAAAATGTTACAAAAAATCAGGTACCAGTATAAAATCAACAATACAGTATGATATTGGTTTATGCATTATCGATAGATGAGTAGTTTTTTATATGAAGATTTGAAAATATTTAGAGTGGAGGATTTTTTAATATCATGTGGTAGAGCATTCCAAAGATTAGGGCCTAGATAGCATAATGCAATTGTCTTGTGTAATGATGATGAATATTAATGTTGATATCAAACAAGTCTTGAAATAGATTTTTTGGAAGACTGGGGTGCTTATTAAAGATTTTGTACATGAACTGACCAGTACAATATCTGTTGACATCAAAAATATTTAATATTTTAAGATCTTTAAATAGGGGAGCGGAGTGAGAAAGTCTATCCTTATTTAAAGCAATTGTTTCTGCAGTTTATGTAGATGATCATAAAATGATTTGAATGTGTTACCCCAGATTATGTTGCAATATATGAAGTTGGAAATCATAATTAGAAACAAGTTTATAAAAAATTTTGTTTTTGACGTAATCATGCTCACCTTTACATAATTGCAAAAACACTTGAATCCAAAAATATAATACATGACGTCAATTTAAAAGAATCTTTTTGGATGTGGGTTGCTAATTTATAAAATGCTACATTTTGAGCAACATTTTTGACAGCCATCACCCTTGCATCATTACCCTATGCAGATGTTGCTTGAGGAAAAAGCTCATAGGCAATATCATGCATGTGCAGCGTGGAACCAAAGGTCATTTTGGAATTGGAATTTGTGATATTGTATAAACTAAGGCGTGTTGGGTATTCAGTTATGTTCATATTTGTATAGGTGATACCTGATATAAAGGAAAGTGTGTAAATAGTTGTGTACTTCATTCTGTAGACATGGTAAAGGCATTTAGATAATAGCCAAAAACTATATTTTTCAAAAAAATTATGGTCAAAAAGCCAAAAATTTATGGTCTATGACATTCTCAGATCTTATATGAGCAATGAGCCTATGAATTTGAACCACCATGAGAACATTTAATTTCAACTTTCTAATTTTCTAATTAAAAATACGTATTTTGCTTATAAAGCCAATAACGCAAACGCAAGTAGGTATTTACCAGTTTCACCACTAGGTGGCTCAATCGGGTAAGACAGCATGGCGGGTATAGTAGTTTTAGTGGTTCTATTTTTTTTGCGAACTTATTATGCTTAAGTTTAGAGATGCAATAACGTAGGTAGTGGGTACATAAGTTCAGGTAAGGTAAGTTGAGTGCTTTAAAATTTTCTCAGAATTCTTTCATTACTGGTTTATATGAAGTTGGAAATCATAATTAGAAACAAGTTTATAAAAAAATTTGTTCTTGACGTAATCATGCTCACCTTTACAGAATTGCAAAAACACTTGAATCCAAAAATATAATGCATGACGTCAATTCAAAAGAATCTTTTTGGGTGTGGGTTGCTAATTCAAAAATGCCACATTTTGAGCAACATTACACCCTATGCAGATGTTGCTTGAGGAAAAAGCTCATAGGCAATATCATGCATGTGCAGCGTAGAACCAAAGGTCATTTTGGAATTGGTATTTGTGATATTTTTATAAAACTTAGGCTTGTTGGGTATTCAATTATGTTCAATATACATTTTAGGCTAAATAAGTAAGTTCATAGTCTGGTAATATTAAATCCATTTATTTATTTATTTTATTGCCATAGCAATTAATTATTTTTTGACGTTGTTAAGGTTTAATGACATAATAGTAGATTTACCTGTATTCATTTCAACTGTTTTCAATTTAAATTTAGTGATCATGGATTCAGTTTGCATTCGAAATGTCTAAAACAAAAAAAAATTGTAATTAAGTCTGTGACAATGAACACTAATCTTTGGTTAATATTTCTTTAGGTGATACCTAATATAAAGGAAATTGTGTAAATAGTTGTGTTCTTCATTCTGTAGATATGGTGATGCATTTGGGTAACAAAAACATTATGGTCTATGACATTCTCAGATGTTCTATGTGCGATAAGCCTATGAATTTCAACAATGGGAACATTTCATTTCAACTTTCTAATTTTCCTACAATAAAAATATTTTGCTTATAAAGCCAATAACGCAGATGCAAGTACGTAGTTACCAGTTTAACCACCGGGTGGTTTGTTCGGTTCAATCAGGATGACGGGTATAGTAGAAAGTTCCCTTAAACTTAAATTACATCTGTTTTAGTAGTTCAATTTTCATATCATCCATATGTATCTCATAGTTATGCAATTTAAAATATGTCTACTTAAAGAAAATGTTATCCTACAATTATATGCACAACTCATTTTAATATGAATAGCACCTGTCACTATTCCTTTCATATTTAAATGAGTTGGTCATAAAATAGTAGGCTAATCCAGTAGCCGATACTGTAATAATCAGCAAGAATTCTCCCAGTAGTAATACGTGATTTTTCTCGAAAAACACGAAATCAGGCACGCCATTCCAAGTCTTCTACGTGAGCGTTAAACATTGCACGTAAATACTAAATTCATCATTCATTCATGCAATGTGTTTGGGCCTCTTAATATTAATTTTATCGTGGAAACTTTTTTAGATTAATACTCATTAATACTCATTTTTATTACAAATTAGTGAATAAATTGTTGTGGTTTTGTTTGTAACCTGCACTCATTTTTTGATTCAAAACTTGAATAACAAGTAATAATTGTCTTGTTTTGAAAACATCAGACTCCGCCAAATCTGTAATTTACTGGTATCATACTTTGTATGAATATATGTATGTGCTAATTATTAGATACATTGAACGTGTAAATGTTGTCAATAATTTTAAGGACAAGTTCATGGTATTCAAGTGATCATTAAAAAGGGCAACGAGGATATCATAGACGAATATCACTTAAGCGACATGGACTGTGTTTATTTATAATAACTGTAACAGGTCGAATTAAAGATATCAAAACGATAATTCAAACAGGATCAGATTGCTTTCATGAATTTATCCTGATTCATTGTTGTTTCCGTTTGAACGAGAGACAGTTTTAACAACTTAAAAAATTAAATATAAATGGGGCTCTCTAATGCATGCTCAAACTTTCATTTAGCATGCGCGGTTTAAGCACTAACATAGATTCTGACTAACACTCTTTGGCAATCGTTTGTATAACACTTGTTTAATCGAAACTACATAATTCTTACTGCAGAAGATGTCAGATATAACCAAACATACAGTATAATCGTGTCAATGCTTTATGGTTCAATATAACCATACATGATATATATGACCGCTGTTGACAGGTTGATGGTTTATACATGAATCCTCCAAATCCCCTCTTCGTACGGCCCTGGTATATTACTGATGACTGCAGTTAGACTGGCTGATTGACGAAGAAGAAAAATCTAAGGTGCTTATAATTTTTTTATGAAAAATATAGAAATAACATCCAAATTAAATTATGAATATTCAAAAGAAGACATTTAAATCTACAATATGTAAAAATATCAAAATTGTCCAAAGCAGGCGTAGTGCAGTAGACTGATGAACTTTGTTCTCCAAACCGAGACTAGTCCTTTTGCATCAGCATACTAAAATTCAAGCAAATCCATCATAGGTATTTGAGTTATCAAGCATTACAGAGATTATCAAAATTTTTTACAAAAAAATGATGACAGTTAGGGCTATTTATGGCATGTGCTTTCAATAGAAGGGTAGGCAACTTCCTATATTTCATACATAAGCCTTGTCTTAGGTTTTCAAAATTGGAGAAGAAATGCTTCCTGTACAAATTCCAAGAAAATGCTTTTCATGTATGATTTTAAGAAATAATCCAAAAAACAGATTATCTGCATTTATGTTGATAATCTAATAGAAAATGGAATTCATCATAAGTTTGGCAATAGTGAAATTGAACAGACCCCCACAAATTATATTCTTATTGAAATGTGTTCTTGAATAATTACCCACAATGCAAAACTCGTGAGAACATTTTGATACCTCTTTCCCTTATTGGTCTTTTTTTGTTTACTTTAAATGAGATTAATCATGTTTCATGTTTTAATCAAATTATTGAATGACCATGGTTATGGTTATGGTATTTTGCAACACAAGTTAAACTGTGATTCCACTTTCATTTCCAGCTGCTTTTGTAAAGCAGTTATTTGTCTATTAAGAATTATGCATTAGCAAATTGTCTTTCATAAAAGGACAATGCCACAAATACAAATTCACCCCTCCCCATCTTTTCCCAACCATGACATGTGTTAGACAAGAAACATCCAACTATAAAAGAAAGCTCGAGAGTACTTTTATCAAAATTTGTCAGAACATTTTATTATAGTCTTTGCTTAGCCTATTAGAATTGGTACGGATGAACGTACATACGGACGGATGGACGGACTGACGGAGGTGTTCCCTATATCCCTCCGAATTTTGTTCGATGGGATAATCATTCATTTGCTAGGTCTGGTAGTTATGCCTCAGTCACATTTGATCTACGATAACCATATGGCGGCTGACAGCTCCCCAATGAGGAGCCAGATACAAGACTAAGTTCAAATGATTCCTATACCTGTAAAAACATCAATCCCCTCAAGCCTGCACATCAAATACAAAATAACTATGTGAGTCAAAAACAATAACAACAAAACAACAATTACAATAAAAAATTACAATTACAATAAACATTACAAAAAGAGATTTTACCTGCATTTTATTGTACATTTCAAGATTCATGGCTTTTATTTCTTCGAGTTGTTTCCTTAAAGTGATGACTGTGTCTTGTTTCTCGTGGATATCTTTCTCCAGTAACCGCACTGCAACTTCCATTTCTTGTTTCATACCAATTTGAAGCTCTAGTTCTTTTTCTGTGTCCTGAAACAAATGAGGAGTTTCATAATTTCTTTGTTTTTAATATTTTATTGAATTTATACAATTGGTAGTACCTATTTTAGTGCCAGTCTTAATTTAACATTAAATAAATATGGATTATTTTTAATTAACTGATTTGAATTGTTTTGATTTGTTGCCTTATTGGCCTTAAAATGTTTCAATTTAGTAAATTGTGTTTTAAAAATGGTGGACAGTTTTCAAAGTCTTAGGCAAAGAGCTAGTAAAACCATAATAGAACCTTTCCCCAAGATGCCTAAGTTGGATGTTTGGAAGTATTTGGTTTCTCCGAAGAGAATACGTCTACCCTATGTCGGTTGTGCAACACAAACTTGAAATACGCTGCAGGTTTCCAATTTTACGATTGAAACATTTGTAAAAAAAATTTATTTTAAAAATTAGACTGCGATCTTTATTATACTTCAATTCATTTCCTATCTTGTAACTGCTTTCTATTACCCACTCATACTAACATTTTTATGACTTGATATATACACTTTTTCATGTGTCCTACCCCAGGTCCTAAGTCAGGTTGAGAATTTGGGTAAACACCCCACCCCAAGATTATCTTTATGCCACCAAGCCCACTGCACAGTTATATCCCAACTGAAGGACATCTGTACTATCCACATAATTTCAAATTTCAGGAAACACATCTTCTGTGAGGAAACATATTGAAAGGTCTTACGCTACCAGACCCAGTAATGCCCCCCATCTAATATGGGGCAAGCGGCTTCGATAGCCAGCTACAAATCGTTCAATTCTAGTTATTTAATTCCATAAATATTCAATGATTATCAGCTATTACGATTCCATATTGATCATGTATAAGATTGAATATAAAATTATATGTCCTAATAATGCCATATTTGTGGCATCAATTGCAATTTATGAGGCCCGTCTTATTAAGTATACATGTATGATTGAAGAACCGACCGAACGGAGAGACAAGAACCGAGAATCGTACCGAATCGAACCGAACGACCGACCTTTCTCTAATATTAATTATCCCAAATGGTTAGAATGATTATCACAATTAGCAGCAATAATATTTTATATTTTGATTTTTAATAATTTATCTGTCTCAATTTTTTCCTGTTTCAAATTGTTTTGTACAATTAAATAAAAAAAACTTGAAGGATGAACATTCACAAATATATAACATATTCATCCTAAAGTGAGAAGTAAAATATGGAAGATAGGACCTTTTAGGGAACCATACGCTATTTAAGTAAAATACAATTATTTTTTATATCACCCATGTTTTGTCTATTACATACAATTCATTTCATGTTCAAACTCTTATAAAAGTTATTGAAAGTTATATTTGAGAACGCTAGGAGCGTGTTAATATCAAATCCGTAAATCATCCATCAGATGACTTTCTTTGTGGTAAAAACATCCCGTAACTAAAGAGGGAAAATTGAAATCTTATTCATAATTGAGCCCCTGTGGTATATTTATGGCCCCACAAGTTCCAGCACTCCTGCCTAGTATGAAGAAATATGGGTCTGGAACATCGGCTAAAGAATTTATATTGAATAAATGAGATTTTAATGGAGGCATAAGAGGCAAGGCAGGTGAATCCGGTTAAGTAGGAGTGATTATAAATTTAATAAATATCAAAATAACACTTCTTGCCTGAAAGATGAAAGAAACAATTATGATCAAAATTATTATTAGAAAGATAAATTATAAACAAGGCATTAACATGCAAAATGTCACCACCTGCCATTTATTATAGACACCAAATGTTGACTAATCATCGACCAGTGAATGATGAAAACGAACTACAAAACACCATCAACAAAATTTATGAAAAGTCCAAAGCATGAAAGCTAGAAAGCTAGAAAGCATGATAGTACTCGTATGCTGACTTTTCTAAAGACATTCAAAATGGCTGCTAAAGTAGCTGTCAAGCAATTTTTCATGAAATTTGCAGACAAGGATTTTAGCAGTTGACTACAAAATGTCCGACATTGCATTACGTGATTGAACTTATTTGATTTTTTTTCATTGCCAAGGTATTCACGTAGGTGGAGGTATTAATTAATGAAGCAAAATTGAAAACAACATATTAATCAAACATTTTCTGCATCAGTGTTGATTCAATAATTTTTGAAAACAAGGAGGTATCATGTGAGAATATAAAACAAAACTTGAAACATGAAAAATGAGAAATGAGAAAAATTCACATGTTGTTATAACATAACAGTTATGCCTACTCTGAAAACGAGGTTGGACTGCTACGTTCACTGATTTATCCAATAAAATGGCCACAATGGAACAGAAAACTAATTTTGAAAGGATGAACGATTTATGTAAGCATTGCATTCGGTGATGCATTCAGTAATGTACAGGGTGGTCCAAAAAAGTGAACCCCTGCAACAGGCTATATTTTCCTTAATACATGCATGAATTTGCTCATATCATCACATCTTGTGGAAAAAGGTCTAAATCGAACCCAGGACCTTCTGCTCTCAGAGTCAGACGCTCTACCTGAGCCATAAAGGCTAGCCACTACAGCTGAGACTGTAGTAGCGACTTGCTATCGAAGGTCATCACATTTTGAGTGGCTCTGAGGCACATATACTGAGAAAACACTAAAAACAATAAAAATTATGAACTTGGATATCTCAGTCAGTAGGTTTACAGCTTATATTCTGCTTCTTGATTTGACCCAGTCTTTATAACCATCAATATACATGTCACCGAATGGAACTAGTTTAAAAGGAAATCGTATCTGTGAATCTTGCCTACAGGTGAGAAAGAGGATATGCTGTCTTTCCCATCCGCCATTTTTTGTTATCGTTACCGCAAAATGTTGCAAATCGCCTTGATGTAACCGTCATGCTATAACAGCATGATTCAGAGTAGAACTAGGGTACCAGATGATAATTTGATAATAACTAGTGGTGAATAGAGCCTTTAATTTTTTAAGGTAAATCGCAGTGGCGTAGCGTCGTTTACGCAAAGTACGCAAATGCGTCCACTGGAACAATCCAATGTTTATCTGAATATTTGGAAATTCTAAATTTCTCAAGTTTTAATAAGCAAAGCCATTGTTCAACCTTATCATTTTGTATCTTTGAACAGGGTTCAACCATAGAAATTAGGTGTTTATTTTAGTCCTGACATGTCATTAATGATTCTTTCAAATTATACTCTCATAATTTCGTGAATATTCTTATGTAATCCATATGACCTCCCCGTATTAAGTACACAATGGCTGCTCATGTGCCGAATCCAGCTCCAGTTTTGGCGTAAGAATCTTTGGAATTTAATGATTAGGGATAGTTAATCAATTACGCTAATATCTATATACTATAATAATATTCAAGCAAGATTTGGCTGTACCTTTCATCCATAAATCTTATCGGAAGACATTGAATAAGAGTAATCAACAGTGCTGTCTGCTGCAGACATCTTTTTGTTCAGTGTAAATTAATGAGTACTTATGAGTAAATTTCAAGTGGAAATGAATGCGTATCGGGTAAACCCCCCCCCAATCCCAATTTTGGAATTTTGCGTCCCCTAGTAAAATTGCCACGCTACGCCACTGAATCGGTATAATAAAAAGGAGCTTTAAAGGAATATAGATGTTGAATACATATAAGCAAGTGGTAGTCTGCTATCAACTTTTTTGTGAGGTGCTGATACAACATTTGTTTTATAGGAGATATACATACTAGTCGCATTTGTGTCTCCTCTGCCAGCCGATTTTTAGTATCCTCATAGAGATTATCGAGCCCCTGTCTGTTTGTTTGATATGTTTGTCGTTCAGTGTCTATGTCCTCTCTATTGGCCTAAAACAGATGATTGAAAAGAAAATTGAAAAAAATGACCTGGAAAAAGAAAACGATTAAACTTTTATTAATAAATATGTACAAGCATTAATTGTATTATTCAATGACAGTGATATTTCTAGCAGTCTGATTGGCCAATGCTACATATAGAGTCCACACACTCCAACAGTCACATCACCGTATTACTTGCTTTCTATCCAAAACATCATCTTCTGTTGAAAAGCTATTTAAAACAAAATATAAATCATTCAATGATCTCTCATAAAATACAGAAAACATTCTTGGAATAAATACCAGGCTAAATATTTTCTGTATTTTACTTGAATTATTGTATAACTTTTTTTATTCACATATCCTAGTTTTATGCGTTGAAAAAAATTCTGCACAGAGTAAAGTGAATTTTATTGACATATTAGATGTAGTCTCAGTGCATTGGTGGATTAAAGTTCCAAATTTTTAAACAGACTTCAGATTTTTTCTGGGAAATTCTCATAAAACTAGTTTTTGATGACAAACAACTGGCTTTAGGTGTCTAGATGAGTGACAAATATGAGATGAGATGGTTAACTGGAAAAATCATGTTTTCCGTGAAATTCACTGCCAAAAATCAAATTCTGCAAAATTTTGAAATCCAAAATTCAGTGATTTTTCTGCGATGTCACGGAATGCATACTAGGATGAGTGAATACTGCATCACTGTCAAGCTTGCAGTCGTATAATTGTTAGCCAGGTCACACGTAATAACCTGATTATATCAATTACAACTCAAAAACAACATATCTAAACTGCATATTAACACTAACATCACACAAAGACTACAAAATATGCATAATGCACAAAGTGATATCTGGGTATTATTTGGATGAATCATGGTGAATGATCAAGTTTACAATAATCATTCTTTTGATGTATTTCTAGAAAATTGTGCAATATGATTATTATGGCATAGAAGAATATCAATTATCATATCATTTTTATATTTCTCACTCTATTACGTTTTATTTATATTCGTTTGAGTGAAACGAATTAGAATATAAATTATTTATACATATTACTACAGAGTGAAGCTTTAAACGTTACGAAAATTACGTTACGCTATTTTCGAATGCGAGTAGAATATGAGTGAGTGAATATGTGTGTAGTGTTTAGGAGAGATGAAATCATTCTGGCTAGGTCGTCAATACAGTGAACACCTTCTTAAACATCATTACAGGTTAAAATGTTCAACGTTCGATAGGTTCCATGCATTAGTTCATACTTTTTCAGGCCAAATTTTGAGGCTCCTCACATAGAGGTTATAATGGTGAAAATTAATGCAATCAATCAATCGAAAGTTTTTGTTTTGAACATGTATATTATACACGCGGTTCTAACTTCGACCGTTAATTTGAATTTTTGACCTACCGGATGTTTGAAAATCAAGGATTGCGACTCTCATACTGCACCGTTTTTCTTCAAACTTATACCATTAAAAGCAGAACAAAATTGTCTTTCTGTCGGTGCATTACTTTATTGTAAAGAGTCCCTCGTTCTAGCAGCGTTTTGGTCCCCAGCTGTTAGTAGGCCTTCTTACAGCTGGGGACCAAAATGCCGCTGGAAGTAGGGACTCTGTTTAAGAGAATAATGTACCATCAGAAAGGGATTTTTGTTATGCTTTGAATGGTACAAGTTTGAAGAAAAACGGTGCAGTATGAGACTCGTAATCCTTGATTTTCAAACATCCAGTAGGTCAAAAATTCAAAATAACGGTCGAAGTTAGGACCACGTGATATAAGGCGAAGCTAAATTAAATCTAAGTACAAAAAATGGCTGTCACATTTTTTTGATAAAGACACATGGTTTTAGAATCTGTTTACCTTGTATATATATTGCATAGGCATACCTTATTACCGATTACCAATGTTCATAAATGATGCGTAAATTTACACCACTGGAAAAATATATGATGTAATTTAATAGACATATGTTCTTAATAAACGAGATGCGACCTCTAGCCAAAGCTATGTTTAATATATAATGAGTGCCGTGTTAATTATTAAAAGTATAGAATGGTCTATACCATACATGCAACAAAAATAAGAAGGCATATTCCCCACTCTAGCTTATGACGTAAGTAAAAATGCATATACACAACTCAACACAAACATTTATGACAGTATCATCAAACTAGACTCATAAAACTTTCTGATAGAGTGTACATACAAAGTGTACATACAAGAATATCATCTATTTTTTCTGAAGATACTAGAGCAAAGGAAATCTCTACCTTTAGTGATAATTTGACAATGACAGTGACAGCTCATCCAGTTTTAAATCATCATTCAACAGGCAATAATAATTCACCCTTTAATATACCCTTCAAACTAGCTGTCAGTACTTCATTAATCTTTGCAGCTATAACTACTAGCCTTATCCAATTCAGACATAAACTTTATGTCATGTCCCAATGAAGACAATGCCATCTCCTTTGGGGGTCACTCATCAGCATCAAAACTGAATATTTGTTTGTCCTATTCAGGTAATTGCTACTAATAGTGTTTAGCTCTATGTGTAAGGGGTCCGTTTTTCGGAACGTCGTAACTTACGATTTAGTTGCAAGTCATTGTTCATCAAAAAATAGACAATGGTCTTCTCGGAATCGTAAGTTACGATCGCACCGAAAACAAACCCCAGGGTAGTAACTTTAGCAACAGATTCATATCAGTCCAAACTCTACCTCTCTCTTGACATGCAATGTTGTTTAAATTATTGTTCGGCGTTATGACGTGTGGAAAATTGGCTATAAAAAAGTGTGATATCGATGCATCTCTAATTGTAAATGAAGATATAGACAACCTGTACCCGTGTGTTTAAATGAGGAAAATAACTCATACAGCCAAAAAATATATGGAAACCCAAATTATATTCAGAATAAGGAATTGGTGCAAAATTCCATCTATTATTGAGATTTCATTGTTGTGTAAAGATGTAAAATATAAATATAAATAAATATAAAACACTGGTGTGTTGAGCATGTTGAAGAGATTTGGACTGGCTTGTTTTTTTGTACGGTACAATTCAAATGATTACCTCTAAGCATACTAAAGCTACACATTAATTCCCCGATTTCTCAATTGAGTGTGGTGGGGAAATATGAATACTGTACTGTATATGAATACCCCAAGTTTCCAACAAGTGCAAGGGTGCCACATTATATTGAGTTCAAATTTGACACAGAAAATTATCTACTACCAGATGGCTAGATACAGTAGAACCTGTGAATATTGAACATAAATTGCTGAGAAAAAACGTTCGATGTTGGTGGGTGTTCACTACAGAGAGGTTAAATGATAAATAAATGGATAGAGTATGTGGGGAGGAAGAGTGTTTACTAGAGACAGGTGTTCGCTAAGACAGGTTTTACTGGAGATAACTAAAAAATATATACACAATTATTTATTCAATTTTTTCTTCTAGCAATCATTGTTTTCTGTTTAAACATGCCAATATACTAAATGTATTCTTCTTGATTTTTCTGAATTTTTATTTTTAATGTACTTTAACTGAGAAATTGATCCTTCATGGATATCAATAGTACAAAATGAGAAAATCATGTTACTCCAATACTAGGGTTAAAATAAATATTTAACTTTACAGAGTGCATAGTGGTTATCTGCGTAGTTGTTTTGCAGTGTTTTGAGTATCTCTGATGTAATATTGATTTTGTTCATTAAAGTACCCTACATCAATTAGGCAACATTTTTTACAGGAAATTTCAAAGGATAGGTATCGATATGGTGAACTGAATTCAACAATGTTTTTCTCTTAAACCAATTATTGAAAACATTCTGTAAAAAACACGGTATTTTATGTAATGTTTATAAATTGATGGGGTAACTTGGAGACATGCGCTTATTTTGAAAAAGAAACAAAGAAAATATTATAAACATGGCCAACATTCTTTGAAATTTTTTATATTAATTCGAGTTTACAATACTCATTTTAAGACATATTACAAAATTATTTTGAGTTCACAATTGTTTTTTCCAAACCATCTTGGGGGTAGGTATATATAAGTCTCGTTGAAATATGAAAGAACCTTCAATTCAGCACTGACTTTAAGAGTGTAAGTCACAGTTTAAAGCATTATGATCCATTTCCTCTTCATCACAATAAAAATACAACTGGATCAAAGGAACGTGCGGGTGCGTAGGTGTGACGCTGTATTTCATGAGCCCAATATACATTAAATCCTAGGTAAAACCAAGCTTTATCCGATGGAATCAAACTTGCATTGTAAGACATCTTACATTCAAAGAGCCTGAGGAAATCTTGAGTAAGGACTCAATACTAATTAAGACCCCTTGGCAAAATGTTGATTACACTTTTAAGAGCTCTTTTACTCTAAAACATTTTAACTAAGATCTCTTAGGAGTATAGTGTAAATCCAACTATTGCAAGAGGATTTGCATAAATGTACATCCAGAAATATGTAGGAATAATACCTCGTAGGTGAATTTTAGTACCTGACTAAATGAAAAAATATGTGGCAAAAAATAGTTGATTATGTGAATAAATCGATCATTACTTTGAATGGCCATGGGCTTTCAATAGAATGGCTGAGCTTTTGGAAATTTGACTCTGATTTCCAAATATAGGACTGAGTTACTTTTTATACTTCAGTGCCCTTAGCACTGAATTGATTTTTTGTATTATTAGTAACATTGTACATGTGTACATAAACAACAACCATTTAATTCTGTCTCTATTTAAATCAATGAATAAACAGGGAAAAAGTTCTCAGCTTACTCTGAAATTAACTTGCAAACAGCAACTCAACGGAGTAGCAAATCCCACTGAACAAATCAATCATTTCCTTCTTGAGAAGAGTTTTATGTCCCTGAGACATCAGCATTTAACGTTTGAACAAAATAAGTCAACTAAACAATTACGCAAATTAAGCAAGGCTACATTTTCAAGAAAAAACATCCAGCTAGAAGGAAACGCCCACAGAAGGACCTCCAAATGAGAAACACACACAGAAGGACCTCCAAATGAGAAACCTCCTATGGGTAATTATCACTCCTTCCTGTTTCCTGTAAGTTAGTGTGACGATTTCTACAAGTCAGACCATTGAATGACACAAAAGTGAGAGACGGGACAAATCTGTTATGAAACCAGACTAGCACGCCTACGTAACATATAAGCCCTCCCAGACATACATGTTATGGAACTGTCATACTTAGGCTGTGTGGGATCACTGTTCATAACTGTTTGAATACTTTGGGCCAGAAGGCGGGGCATGGCATGGCATGGATACACGGTGGGCAGAACAAATAGTTCTAAAGTAAGATGTCTCCCATCACACAAATTACAAAAATTAATTAATTAAGGAATTAATTAATGCCCAAAATTAGCCATACAGCGGTGAAAGGTGAGCCCACTAATATTACGAGGAAACTATCACTATGAGGGTATCTTAAATGGATTCCATGGTAGTTTGACACTTTCAGAAAAAAAAGAATTCAACTATTCTTAACTGTAATCATGACATTTCTCAAAGTATGAATCTTACCTCAAACTGGGTGCTAGAAGTAGGATTTTCCCAATGTGCTTTTATGAAAAAGACCCTATGGAACATTTTATGAAGTGTAATTTACTTATCTATGACCGATAGATTCTACTAACAATGTTAGCAAGAAAGGGCTGTCAGAAAAACGTTGGTGAGTACTATACTAGTATTGTATTATCACCTCATATTCAATATATAAAATCAGAGTATCGTTAACAGATACAATGTAGAGTATTCTCCTTTATTTCATCATAAATACTTTAGGTTTCGGGCCGATATAAAGATGACAGCATTGCTAGGATCCTATAAACACAGATTGATTGGCCTGACCTCTTTATTTGAAAATTATTTCTATCGTGCTTAAGCCTACAATTAATACATTACTACGATGACTATGACAGAATGACAGAATAACTAAACAAAATCAAATTACGTAATCAAGAAGGGTCAATTCAGAATGACAATATGCATGCTTGCTGAATGTGGGGTGGAATAGGGTAGGGCCACGAAGGTGTGTCCTGCTGGCTCCATCTATCAGGTTTTATAACCTTATTCAGATATTTGTTTGGAAGCAATTGTGGCTCAACATTGAACTACTGTACATGTAAGACACACTGAATGAAAGACTGAAATTCAGCCCCTTACCTTGTTAAACCATTTCCTTGGAGAACCCTTCCAAACAAAATAGTGAAAAAAAGGATCCAATTATCAAAAAATCATTTATGTTTTCTCGCTTAATTTACAATTTTTCAATATAGCAGACAGTTCTGATTTCAGCTTCCAATCGTAACATTGTCAACTGCCTTTAAAGCATGCCCTCTATCCACTAATATATTCAGTTAAAATGCTATAGCAGACCAGTGCTAGAGTCTATTAAAAATCAACCCAAACTAAAATGCCATCTTTTAATAATGGGTACAATGTAAAGTCTCAAATGTAGGCAAAATGAATTCTAAAAAATATCTTCATTTGAAAATAAGCATCCTCCGATCACAGGGCTTCAAAATTCAGAATATATTCTTTCTTTTTACCCCCTGCGACAAGCAGTTAGCATTTTCCCGATTAAGAACTCGCAATCTGATTGGTCATTGCACATAATTAGATCACGTGATTCAGTTTAATTGGGCGCTTCCAAATTGGTTATAGCAGGGGGAAGAAGGAGGTACGGATTCTGGATACCTGCTTAGGAGGATGGAAAATAAGTCAAGACTGGTGATCTCCCCTCCAGTAAGTGGGTGCTGCACCCACTTGAATTTTAAGAAATAAGATTGCCTTCACTATAAAATCTAATGCCACCCAATTGAATATCTTCAGAATCTACCCATATTGATTAAAAAGATTATTAAAAGAATACTGATAATGATCAGAGAATCTAAGAAAAAGAATATCTTAATATTTTTTCATTTACGCTGGACTGGAGTTATCTTACCTCAACATGTTTTTTAAATCGCTCTTCAATATCTTCTTTTTCTGTACGTAGAGTCGAGTTTTCCTCTTGCAGGGTAAGAATGTTATTTTTGGCAATGGCGAGGTCTTCTTTCATTAATGCATTTGTTGTCTGTGTGCTCTCTAACTTCTGCTGGAGATTGGTAACTGTAGCACTATAATGATTGTTTATCCTTTTAATATTTATCACTTTCATTTTGTGAAAACTCAGACTCTGGGTATTTAGTACTTAACAGGTTCTGAATGACTATTTAAACATTATATACAGATTAATATTGCATATGGAACAAATATTAATTGTAGTCATTTTTATTCTCCATCAATTGTATTACAGATTGATATGGATTAATAAAAAAAAAAAGTTAACATTTCACTATTTCCAGAGATGATATTCGGGATATCACATACTTCAAATGTCTATTCAGCTCTTCAAGGTAATTTTTCTGGTCCAATATTGCAGCCATCTTAGCATCATTCTCGGGGCTAAAACAAAATTTTTGCATTGTAGAAGTAAACTAGTTGCAAACTATAAAACATTGGAAAGGTGAGGCAATGAGTTCCAGACAATCAAATTATAGTACAGGCATGTAAAAATGTTAGAATTGTTTTATATCAAATACTCCGTTGACATGATTATGGAAATTGCCTAGAATCTTACAACTCTAGAAACATTCATAGCATGAATTCAAACTATAGTTTTAACTTTACTCTAAAATGTATAGAGATGAAGACTGGTCCATATGTATAATACTCACACATCATCAGGGGCCCTATCATTGTAGTTGAGGTATAAACTGAAGTCAATCACCCCTATCTGAAAAAATATATGTATAATAGTGTTGACTCTCTCAGAATACATGTTATTCAGGGGCATTCAGTCAAGATCCAGAAAATAGGTGAGAAACAAATCAGAAAAGGTGAGGTGAAATGTCAGAAAATATGACACTGTATTATAATGCTACTGCTCCTTTTGTAAAATGGTGAGGCAATTGGCTCTTTTACCTCAAACTAACAATGCCCTTGTTATGTTGTTATGTTGTTTAATCCATGGGCTTTCAAGATAAACGATTTCTCTAGTTAAAAGCTCATGTTAAATCTAAGTTTCTTATCAATATAAATAAAAGTTCATTAATTGAATAAAATGTTTTTCTTTTTAATTCAGATTCAGATTCAGATATTTATTACTATTTTGAAAATTATATATGACTTTCAATACAACATGACGCTCTCAAGAGCATATATGTTGGTTTTAACTGGACAGAAATGGGTCAGTGACACCAACAGGTAAGACAAATAAAAATGGAGTGGAGAAATACCTCAGAATGACACTGGCCCAAGTCTGTTGGAAATCATTTCAAAAATGTAAAAAATATTAACACTCGGGGACAGAGACACAGGACACAAGAACGGGTATTTGCTGCTAAGTTTATAATATGTATATATATAAGTTGATAAGACAAAATGTGGCAGAGTACAGATTTTCAATAGTAAAGACATTTTCAAATCTTTAAAACTATAAAGGTATGTTATTTATTTTATTTTGTTTGAACAAAGACTTAAAAATTGAGAGTGAGGCTGCTTGTCGAATATGATGAGATATAGAATTCCAGATTTGCTGACCTTGAACTTTCAGTGAATAAAGGCCAATATTTGTTTTGAACTTGAAGGCATGGATATCATGTGAATGTCTAGTTTGATACCGATGAATGTCAACATTTAACGTAAAATAGTTTTCAAAAATCTTGCGGTGGACTAATATATTGTTATACCAGCAATAAACAAAAATTCCAACATTTAATTGATAGATATCATGCATTGGAAGTATTCTAAATTGTTTGAATAGTAGAGCCGAGTGCTCAAACCTGTCTTTTCCTGCCATGAGACGAAGGTATGATTTTTGTAATTTGAGTAGTTTATCCAAAGCTGAATATGCTCCGGCCCAAATGATTGTGCAATAATTCAAGTAGGAATATATTAAAGAATTATAAATTGCTAACATACTTTTTATGTTTAGCAAGTATCTGCATTTGAATGAAATTCCAATGGTTCTAGATATTTTTCTTTCTACATTTTTTATGTGACTTTTCCAGTCAAGGAATTCATCAATTGTTACTCCCAAAAAATTTATTTCATGAACCCTATCAATTTGTTTTCCATTTATAAATATTTCAATTTGTTGACAAATCTTTTTTCGTTTTTTGGAGAAGACGATGAATTTTGTTTTTGAATAGTTTAAAGAAAGGAGGTTTGCTTTAAACCAGTCATCAAGAGTAATGAGTTCCTGATTAACAGTATTTACAAGTCTAGTTAAATTATGGTCAGAAGCTAGAAGATTAGTGTCATCTGCAAATAAAACAGATTTAAGACTTTGTGACGCTGTGAACAGGTCATTAACATAAATGATAAATAAAAGTGGTCCCAAAATTGATCCCTGAGGGACTCCCTGGGAAACAGTTTGGGTGTCAGACAGGGCACCATCATGAGAAACAATTTGTTTCCTATTTTGAAGATAGCTTTTGAAAAATTTTTGTTCAACTTGTCCGACACCATAGAAATCAAGTTTTTTATGAGAATATCATTGTTGATAGTGTCGAACGCTTTTGACAGGTCAAGGAAGATTCCAATGGAGTATTTATCATTTTCAAGAGCTGATCTTATATTTTCGACAAAGGTCAAAATTGCCATATATGTGGAGAAATGTTTTCGAAATCTAAATTGGTGTAAGTAAAATAATTTTGATTCTTCAAAGAAAGTGTATAATCGCTTATGGACAAGTTTCTCAATAAGCTTAGAAAATACAGACAAAATCGATATTGGCCTGTAAATTGTAAATTTGTCATTTTCACCAGATTTAAATATGGGTATGACTGTAGCCATTTTAAGAAGATCAGGAAAGCATCCTTGTTGAAAAGACATATTATAAATAAAAAGAAGAGGGTTTAGAAGTTCATCCTTAGACTGACGTATAATAATAGGTTTGATATCATCAATAGATGCACTGCTATCTTTGAGATCTCCCATTAGGTCATGTAGTTCCTGGTGAGTTATTAAGTCAAAATTAAATTTAATATCTGTTTTTTTCATTGAGTTAATAAATTGAGACCAATGTTTATTACTTTGGCCAATTCATTTTTAATGGTTTTTGCCACAAATTCAGACATGATATCAAATTTCACGATGATCAGTGCAATTTAATTAATGTCACTTAGTTACTAGTATTTGGTTTTCATGTCAAACATTCAACATTACAATCATGTTTATTACTAACAAATCATTAACAAGTGAAATAAAAATGTAAAATATTTCGATTCACTGAAATAAACATAGTCTATATGGTGAATTGAAGGGAATAAAGATGTCTCCTATATTCTTGCAGCTAAATCAGGTTCAGAGTACATTTTATAGCAGATGCTTTAGATTCTCAAAATAGATGTCAGGATGATCAGCTTGAACATAATGTCTGTTCAATACTTGCAACTGACCCCTGCAGTTGCATGGATATAGACTTGATCTTGGGTTTGGACTAAGGTAGCATTCGCGAATTCAACTGCCGGCTGACGATTTAACCTACTTTTCTATGCTCAACTCATTTAAACATGAATGGAATAGTGGCAGGCACTTTTCTTATTTAAACAAGTTTGCAATAAAAAGTAGGTTAATCTGTCAGCGGCGAATGCTACCTAAGTGATCTGGGAGTGAGTTGAACTTGGATTGAAGTAGATGACCTTGAAAAGAGTGGCCTTGGCTTGTTGACTTTAGGTTGATTTGACCTCAGCTTGAATAGTGACCTGGAAATGACCTAAAATTGACCTGAGTTAAATGAGCTTACTGGTTGGTCTAGATCTTCTTCCTTAATGCAGAATGTACAATCTATGACATTGAGTCCCACCAACATGCCACCTATCACTGTAGCCTCTTCTTCCATCATTAAAGCATTTTCATCATAGTACTCCCTGCAAAATCAACTAAACTCTGATTGTGCCACATTACACCATTGATCATATATATGGAATATTTTCCAATTAAGCATTGATTTCTTCCATTTCAATGTCAAGTTTTAATGAAAGGAGATTTTTCAACCATTTATAATTACAGAAAAGAAAGTTAAAAAAGTTTTGTACTTGATACTGCAAGTTGTGAATTGAAAATATATTTGGGTAATTTGGTCGGATTTCAATTACTGAAAGTGGCCCTTTACTTTGAATAATCCTGTTGAAATATCAAGTTTTGATAGAGATAATGTTGTTTAAATATCAAAGTGTTTTGATGGTTCAAATTATGAATTAAATGGTCCGCAATGACTTAAAAATATTTTGGAGTAATTTTGGACAGTGGCTATTTAACAGATGCAGACTTGTCACCCTGTTTAATATTTGGAGCTCAACCATATTCTGTGGTGTACATTAAATATGTGTAAGTGCATCAATGGCATAGCGTCATATACACATAAAACGCCATGGCGTACTCTCAAAATTTATTAAACAGCTGATTTTTTATATTGATTTGCCCAACACTTCAAAAATGGATAAAAATGGCTAATAATTTACATTCTATTCGTCCATAATAGTCGGAATTTCGTATTTCAAACGTCCCAGAACGCTTCAAATGCAATCTCATTTTCAAATTTTCGTTGGGGGGACCTCACCCGAACCCCCCTCACAGCACGTCTATTTCGCTTACTCGTGGCGTACCCTCACAAAATACCCACGGTACGCCACTGTGCATGTTGTGAATCAGAAAATCAAATGTATAAAAAATAAACATGTAGAATTATTTCAATTAAACTTTACATGTATGTTTATCTGCTTTTAGTGGTTTACCTTAATATTTCATCTTTCCTATCGACTAGAACCCTAAAATAGTCTGCTAGAGTCTTTTGCATAAGAGCAAGTCTCAACCAAGCTCTCGCTCGGCCAAGAGGGGTTCTGAAATGCAACAGTTAATATACATGTATAAATCTTAATATAGTAGTATAAAATATCATAGTTTTCAATTATTAATCTATTAATATCCTGAAATTCATAATTAATTTAGAAATACATTTTCATGATAATCTGAATATTAAGCACACAGAATCAATACAATTTAAATACATTAGCAACTAAGAAATCTCTGGGAGACTAGTCATTCCAGATTATTCAGATCAAAGCAGCTCAAAAATGTTTCCCGCCCATCTATCAATCAACCGATCAAACAAGGCATTAACATGACAAAATGTCACCACCTTGTATGTTATTGCAAATTGTTACCGACACCGAACTCCAAACACCAACCATGCCAAACACCATCCATAAAAAGATAATTGGAGACTATAACAATGTGACACCAATTCTGGTGGTGACATAAAAATTGATTTGTCTTCTCAGTTCGTTATCTTTTGTTACATTAAATGATAAAATCCAAGGTTTCCATGATTTCTTAACAATAAAATGAAAAAGAAGTCTTGTATTAGTCTTTAGTCACAGTCCACACCTACATGTATTTATTTGCTGGCCTTAAAGGGAACGGGAAAAGAGCTGCATTGGGGCTTGATGCAAGACTAAACAATGTATTAACATGCAAAATGTCACCACATGTCATTTGTTACAGATGCTGCCGCATACAAACCCCGAATCCCCTCCACAAAAAAGTTGGAGACTATAAAAATGTCACCACTTGTGGTGAATTAATAAATCAGAGAACTCTGTAATCCTATTTCAGTAATATACTAAAAAGCCATTTACAAATGAAATGTGTCATTATCTTACTTGATATGTGGCATTTCTTTGACACTTGTGGTAATTTCTTGAGCATCCGGACAAATCTTCTCCAACCTTTCCAAAACATACCAGAATTCATGTTTGTCTCTTAAAATACCCTTTTTCGCTGAAAGTAGATAAAATATACTCGATTAACATTTCAAAATTACATGTGTGAGAATAGATAGCTAAGGATCTGAAATAAAGAGAGAAAACAAAGATAAAGATGTAGTGCTACATTCTTAAACATTTCATCTATTAATTCTTTTTCTTACAATTTTACTGTAAATCTGCAGGGTTTCCTAACATTTCTTTTCTTTATGCCGCAATTCATTGATTAAAAATGGTGAAAAGGCATTTCAAAAAATGAAAAACAAAAACACTATTAACACAAGTGTAGAATGGTATCTGAAAATGTTCATGGGTATCTTCCATCTTTGTCCATTTCTGTAGACTGTATAATGACAGTTCTTGGTAAAAGAAGGCATGTGTCTCTTGAATGCCCATGAGATGGACAAGCTCTCCAACGGGCTTAGAGATGCAACAAATGCCCTGTCACAACCAGAAGTGGTATATCTCAATATATGATGCATGACCAGAGTGGCACACTTACCTCTGAGGGTAGAAACTGGAAGATATAATCCTAAATTAGACCTTCATGACAGAATTTGTTTAATGTGTGATATGCAGGAAGTTGAAAATGAAATACACTTTCTAATAGATTGTCCATTGTATAATGATTTAAGATATGATGTTTTCACTTACATGTCATCATTGCATCCTTCTTTTGAAAATTCAACAAATTTAGCAAAATATTGTTTAATTATGTGTGATTGCAATGTTTACATGCTAGCAAAGCTAGTATATTGTATGTTTAAACGACGTAAATTATTTTTATTGTAAATTTTATTCAGTGTCTCATAAGTCGGCAACGGCTGGACGTGTACATATTATTCTTTTACCTCTACATGTGTATGTATATTTTAATTGTTTTTTAGTGTAAATTGTATACGTGTGACACTTAAATAAACTATTTTAAACTTTTTAAACTAAACTAAACTTAAAAATCATAAGGCAGTTAGTAAATGTGATGCAACATAGATGTGGGTACAATATGTTTACACGTTCATTTGCTGGAGAAGTTTGGAATCTAGTAATTTACAAGTTGAAGTACAAAAAAAATTCCCATAGAAAAAATAGAACAATTGTCTTAGTATTAACCCCATATTGTTTTCAAATACCCCAATAGAACATAGATATCTGACAAATAATGATAAGCTTTATTTGTTACAGTTTCACAAAGCTGGAAATATAAAGAACAAGTGAGAAAATAAAGAAATCAATGAATTAAAAATGAAAATCATTGCAGTTCTGTTCTGTTTTTCTTGTTTTTACCTAACTAACTTCCTGCACTTTGAACCTGCAGCACCACCAGCTCGCCCCTTACTCCTTATGTATGTGTGACTTCTACTTCCAGGGAGTCACCGAGTCAACTCTCAATGCACTAGCCAACTTGAAGCAGTAACATGTGGGGTGTCTACGAGCCAATGTGGGAGTCGGTGAATAATTATCCCACCAATATTGTAATTCATAGCAGTCATCCAAGCCTGCCATTTATTTGAATAATGTCAGCATTTTTCCAACACTCATGAATGTTTGTACAGCGTTTTTTGAGAAACATGTACAGTATTTTGTTGTCTATTTTTATAGTGCCAATCAGTACATGTGCTTTACTAGATGCTTTACTTTTTTATTCCTGTTCATTGAGTTCTGTTTACAACATCAATAGAAATATCTGTTGAGATATCAAGGTGAGGTTGGGGCAACTGAAACCTTTATTAAAAGAAGCTATTGGATTGAATCAAATCACATTTGCCTCATATTATCATAATGCATACTAACTGCTTAGATTCATGAGGCAAGAACAACTAAAACCTTATGAACCAACTTGTGAAAATGTCAAAGTTCAGGCATTCTGATTTAAGTGAGAATGGCTGAGTTTAAACCACTGAGGAAGAAGTGACCTCCTTTAACCAAAGAAACCCAAAATTTTAATAATTGCATATAAAATATTTCCTGGGCACCCTGTACAATACTAGAATCTAAAAATTCAGAGATTCTTCTTGTTGATGCTGTTGATCTCTTTCAGTTTTGATCAGACAGAAAACTAGAAAAACTGCACAAGAACAAATTATTGTCATCAGAACAAAATACCATTTGGTACACATTTCTCCATAACAGTCTTTCGATCCAGGCGGTGTGTTGGTTTCATAATTCAACGCAAAAAGAGATTGAAATATAACCATTCCTATTCCATGGCTAGCTAGTATGAGTCCAGTGTTCTGTCCAAAGTGTTTTATACCATAATATCTTAAAATGATAATATTAAATAGAAGATATACGGAACCATACAACAAAGAGAGTATTACAGAGGAAAATATCAAACCAATTAAACTTTGATTATAAAATATGAGAGGGATTTGACTGATGAAAAAGATAATACCAGGACATAACTGAAAAGATGCCCTTGGAACATCTGGCCATTTTTGAACAATGAAATCTGACACTGTTCCACCAATGAGATGTCCAAATGACATACAAATTGAAATAATGACTGGGAAAGGTATAGAAAAGGGATCAATCCTTGCTGATTTGGCGACAATTGTGATATTATTAATAAATGTTCCACACGTACCAGCAAAAAGTGTGCAAATAATAAAAACATAGTAAAACTGACTTGTTTTAATAATTTGCAAACAGTTCATCTCTGGTTGGGGCGATCTTGTTATTTTATCTGCAAAAAGTGCCGTTGTATCATCTATTTTTGTTTATCTTCTTTCTCCTTTGGACCATTGCTCTTCTCATCTGTTGTTACACTCCTTGCATCAGTTTCCCTTTTCTTAAACGTTGATAGTTCAGATCCATCAGCTTCATTTGGCTCTTCTGGAATCGCTTTAAGCATCACAACACTATATAGATTTATACCAGCTGAAAGTACTGCTAGCATTATCATAAACTCTCCTAGCTTTTGATTCTCCGCATCTTCAATATGTCCTTGTACAAAAAGTCCCCTATAGATGGCACTAAATATTGCAGGACTAATCCCACGAAAAGCACCAACAATACCTAACACCTTACCCACATGTTTTCTGTCAAATTGTTTGCAACAGACTACCTTTGGTGCTATGACATTAAACCTCAATCCAAATGACGCCAGAAAGTAAAAGACGCATAAAAGCCAGGAATTTGAACTAAAGAATAACCTATACTCCGTTGCCATCCACATAAGCACAAATCCCATGGTTGTTAATACAAGTGAGACAGTACATGCTATTCTTGGACCAAACATGTCAACAACAACGCCTGCTAGAAAAGACATAGGTATTCCCAAATCTCCTGCTGATGCTATATTGTCCAGTTCAGTCTGAGTGAAGTTAAATGTCTGTTTCAGGGATATCGCATAGATATTAAATCCTAACACAATTCCAGCTATAAATGCTCCTAGTATTCCTATACTTAAACTGACCCATTTCTGAAGTTGTTGACTTTTTAAAATCTTTTTTGGTATCATTGTCAATGTTGTCTGTCTTGAGAAGATCTTGTTCTGTTTTTTGGCTATGTACAATATATCTTGAGTAATGTTTGTACAAACTGTACAATTTTTAAATTTCAAAATGTTCAATTTCAATTCAAAACTTGAAAAACACAATTATATCAACTGTTCTGTAATCTAAATAATTAAGGTGTCTAAGTACTCTCCTTAATACGTTTTTCTGTTTCATTTATTGAAGATTAACAATGTGTTTCATGTATGAAGTAGGCCCCTATCTCAAAGTTTGTAATTCAAAGGCTGATGCGCTTGTATTCTATCTTATGGAACCTGCACATTTTGTACATATCATAAAGTCATTCTTTATTCAAGATAAAACACAAGAGAGTTGTACAAACGATACCATGTATTTTATAAACCTATGAATCATGATATGAGTATACATGTAACTACAGTTAATAAACTAGAAATTTGCAACTCCACGTAGTAGCAAATGCCAACGAACACTAAATTAATGATTCTGCCTTATATAGATTATAAGGCCATGTGATATACCATACTTACGTTTAAGACCATGTCTAAAGACATGCTCCATGACAACAAAGAACTGCTGGAGAGGCACATGATCATCATCTAACATGCGACCTTGAGATAACGAAGAGTCTATCAATTCCTTTATGATAAGCTTGGTTATGTTCAGGAGGTTTGCTCTTTCAACAGTCACCGGGTCTCGACCTGGAAATATAAAGTTCGCATTATTCAATGATTATTAAGTCCAGTATGGTCCAACCTGGACAAATTAGGAACGAGGGTTCACTTCATTCAGAGGATTTTACTACATGTAGGTGCGTTATATACATGTACTAATATACCATCTGTCAAGCATTACACTGTGTATGATCATTTCAAGTGGTTAACCTTTCAGGAGAATCATGTAGGGTTTGCAAATTAAACAAGGCATTAATGGGGCTGATTTGATAGAAATTTTTCATGTAGATCCAAAAATGAAATATGTCACATAATCCTGCAAGTTTTCATGAAAAACGTAAAAGCCACCTTATCATGAAGATTGCAACCATTTGTTTAACAAGATGACAACAGGGAACAATATAACTTTTAAAAAGTGCAATAAAAATGATGAACTCCAAATGCCAGCTGCTGAGCATTGGTCACATTGTCTGCAAACTAAAAAATATATTTCTAGCCTCCCCATCATTGCTGAAAATGAGAAAAGCCTTATACATGTAGTTCCTTGAATTTCTTGATGGAAGCTGGTTATGGGCTTATTTATAGTAGGCAGCATATTAGCAATGCTGGATTGGAGTCCTTCTTTATGGCCTGACTTGAATATAGCAGACATTACTGACAAACATTTGCATAAAACGCTACTCAATCTACATTATACAACATTTTGCTATAGCAACTTATTTCGAGAAGGTCAATGTTAATGTTATCACAAAACTGCTATCCAAATGTCCTCCTCTAACAAAATGACATGCCTTAGATATAACATTAGCTTTTAAGAAATTGCAAAAATATAATGTGTTCAATATATCGATGAACTATAAAACCGAATGGTCTTCAAGCTTTTCTACCCTTTGATGAATCTATATGGTTCTGACAGACTCTACAGCAAAATCAACAAGTTGATTTTCCTGAGAAGATCAACCTAACCGGGCCCATAGCTAGCCTTTGTCAAGGGGATTCACTTTTCAAAAATTCCAGGGGGTTCACATTTGACAAATTTGGCCCAAAATGGTGGAAAACTACATGATTTTGAAAAGTTGCCCCCCTCTGGGAACCTTCCCCTGTCTATGAGCCTGCAATCATTCAATTTTCTACCACATACTGAACATGAATTTTCTACAAAAAACATTATATAGCAAAAGGGCATTGCATTGAAATATGCTTGGTATTCAGGAAGATGATAATGAACTCAAGATTTTGCAAGACATACAACCATATTGATTGGATGTACCTTCAGAATGCTAATGCAACAGACATCTTCTACCCTGACATCACCAGATAACCTTACTAGCCTCTAAGGATAATAGACAAGTAGACCGTTTATATGCTTGTAATTGTGATAAATTTTCATTCTTGTTCAAATGGTATTATTATTACATGAAAAATTGTGGCCATTTTAAAATTCAATGAATCCATCAACTGGTATTTGAGTTATCAAAGATTACGTTTTTTACGAAAAATGGCAGCCATTTTGAATTGAGCGGACATATTAAGAATTCTTTCCCAAACAGAGTCCCATGCCCTTAAAGCATCAGCCTATAGAATTTAAATAACATCTGCTGAATGCCAACCACCGAACTTGAGGCTATGACATAAAAATTAAGGTCTTGCACGGGATACCTATCTCCTTAAGCCACTTAATTCAGTGGAACAACATGACATATATGATGAGATGGTCAATGTATTTTCTGCAATTCTTGTAAAATATTATGAGATTGTCTCTAGGGAGATTTATTTAATGCAATGGAAAATTGTTTCAAAGGCCAATGTTCATGATGACATACTTGAGCATTATGGTGGCGTATTGTGATTCTCATTATTGTGTTCGATTGATTGATGAAAATAATAATCTGAATTGTCACACCATACATGCATACAATAGAGAAACAACTACATTCCCAATTCCCATCATCTATTACTATCTCTCTGTATATTTCATCTCTACACCTTTAAATGAAAGATAATTCTTGGATTTTACATCCTGGTCCAGACATATACGTACATGTACATGCACATTTACATGTATGGTTATGAAATCACACTTTCTGCCTATTTATAGCTAAAAAGCTCATAAAGCTCCGTTTGAGATCATGAAGATATTCAGCATCAAAACTGTAGAATCATCTAGAAAAGTCAGAGGGAAGGATTGCAAACTGATGTATATTCAGAGTTAACTAACCATCTTCAGACATAGGAGAGAGAAGTTGCTCTTGATCTAGATGTATGTCTGCAAGCTCCTTGAGACATAACCAGTCACCGTCAACTGATACTCGAAAGTTACATAGATACAATGTTTCCTCCGCCATCTTGGATTGTCTTGTAGCATGTAAAAATTAACTCCAATCACGCATGTAAGAAGTCAGTCTCTGTGTGACCTTATATCTGTAAACCATGATCATGATTAAGTACACGAGTATCTCTCAAATATATAAATGTATACTCTTAGATATTATACTCCTTTTATCTCATTAGCATACACATTCTATTCTTTCATCTCCGTGTATTCTGTAGCTCAAAACAGACACATAGAGTTCATGCTCAAAAGCATCAGAGATTAATCTTATCTTGTTTCTCGTAGACAGACATTTGTGTCAAACATTGCCACATTTTATTCTTTGCATAAATGTAATTATGCACTATTACGCTCTAAATTTCCCAAATGATAGGATTTATGTCGTAAGATTTCCCTATGGGGTATAATTTATAAGTTCCTGTTTCAGAATTCACAAAAAAACAACAATGTCGTTGATTGCTATTCTGTCTACAAGTTAGGCAACGTCAATATGAAATTATCTAAATACAGAAATCACTTGGATTACATACATGATCCAATTTACTTAGCACACTGCATACTCGATAATCTAACTAATTAATAAATCTTCTTTCCATAAATCCATGTCTTGTTAATCATCAACCCCTGTCGAATCTTGAACTGATTTCTTCTTCAGCTCTTCAATTCCATGTTAATCGCGAGGCTTTTAATTCTTATTAAGATATACATGTATGACATTTCAGCACATCGTCTGCTATCATGCTAATATTACATTTTGACATTGAGGCACACCTACGAGCAGTTCCTATTCCTTAAATTCCTGCTTACTCTTCCAATTTCCCAGTGTATAATTTTCTGTCATATTTTCTATATAATTTTAAATCTTTACTGTTCGTCTATACGAGCAAGTTAATTTCGATCATTTTTAATTCTAAAGTACTACCTCTCGAGCATTCCATGCATTAACAGGATAACATCATGAAGAGATTACAGGCATTATTACATGGTAATGTACACACTCCAACACTATACATATTTTCCTTCTAGAATCATTGGATAGTCCTTAAAGAACAGTACTTGTTGCGATCTGAGTGCTTCTGTATTAAGCCTTGGTCCAAATTGATGATACAAATCATGGGCTTTCAACTAGAGCCCATGTACAAATTAATTGTTGCTTTTGTTAAGGCATCAGGAGGACATCATCTGGCCTAAAAGGTTGCACTGATCTGATATACATACTAGCCCTTTGCTTTTTAACAAGATATCTTTATTTTCTGAGTTGCATTTTTGCATACTTGTACTTTAATCCAAATTATAGCATTTATTTTCCTATTCAAACAAGAGTAATTGTATAAGTTTAGTTGAAATACTACAACATAGACATCATGATGTAAGGAGACTATATATAGGCATGACTATTCTTGATTTGTCTGCTTTCAGTGAAACATACACTTACGTAAATAGGATAATTTTGTTATAGGTTTTCCATGATTTGAAATCAATAATTTGGAGCCAACACAGTTAAGCATGAAATACTAAAAAGGGTCGTCCTTTAGGGTACAAGTTTGAGGTTTTAACATGATTGCTCCTTTAAATAGATGGATCACACTCATTTCTTGTGTTGTCAATTTTGTCTTACTTTTCTCTTATATTCCTACTCTTGTCACACTCCTTTTTATATTCATTCTTTTGTCATACTCCTTTTTTATTTTCCCACTTTTGTCACACTTCTTTCTTATAGTCACAGTCTTGTCACACTTCTTTCTTATATTCCTACTCTTGTCACACCCATTTCTTATTCTCCCACTCCTGTCACACTCATTTTTATATGCATTTTCTTGTCACACTACTTTCTGATATTTCAACTGTTGTCACACTTCTTCCCTATAATCTGCTCTTGTCACATCACTTTCTTGTATTCCAACTCTTGTCACACTCCTTTCTTATATGCTCATGTTTATTATATTATTCTCTTATACTACGACTATTGTCACACTTCTTTTTAATATGCTCATGTTTGTTATATTATTCTCTTATACTACGACTATTGTCACACTTCTTTTTTATATTCCCACTCTTGTCACACTAAATTCTCACTTCCAATCTCTTTTCACACATGTTTCTAATTTTCCCACTTTCGTCACAATCCTTTTTTATATGAACATCATATTCTAAGATAGTAACTTATTTATGGGTCGGGATGACAAGTATCACACCATGTGATCTCATCTCATTATTAGTGATTGAAAAAACATAGCAAGTAATACATTAGAAATATATGTTTTTTGTATTATTCCACTGTATTGTATCAGGGTCTATACATAACCTATTGATTGACATGAGGTCATTTTGACATGTATCTATGTTACTGAATAGCGATGTCTCCCCGATATCAATAAATGCAGTACCCAAATCACGCATGTGCTCTACGCATAGCAAATAGCCATAATATGGCAGGGGAGAGATCAGCAAGGAAGTCCAAATGATCAAAATTCAATTTTTTTTAATTCATAAAAATACCAATCAAGAGTATAGCTTAGTGGAAAAGTAAACATGATCTGAACAAGATTTTATGCAAGAATAGTAGACTCTATTGATTTTTTTCTCTCAGAGGTATATACAAGGCACCCTATCAGAAATGTCATTTTACTGTTGTATTAATCTTCATCTACCCTACACCAAAAAATGGACTTCTTCTTCACTCTTTAAAATCAACTACTGAAAAAATTACCATAGAGGTCAATGCTGAGTCCTTTAAAAAATGAAAAACCGTAGATACTCGAATGTAAGGGAATGACTTTGCAAGTTAAAGATCAATAGGAAATTGTTTTCAGATATGTCATTCATTTCACACTCAAATTGTCATGGAAACTGCATTTGAGATTATTAATCAAAACTGAATAAAGATAAGCCAGATTAAAGAATTGTCTCTATAGTCAATTTAAAGAGTATTGGTAGAGTTAATTCTGGAAAAGGGTAAGAATATTATTGTACAACTCAACAGTGACATCTTTATTTTGAAAAGTGCTTCAAAATTGGCAAGAATAGAACATTTCAGAGGAATCTTATAGCTGGACTCCCTTTACAAATGAGCAATGATGAATACAAGAAGTTTAGTTCAAAACAACAATATCTGTGCCAAGTTTCTTTTGTGTCAGAGTTTGCTGTTTTTCAAATAGACCACACACTTGATACAATGAAGCTTCCTTTGAAAAACAACACACCTGTGATGTCCCCTTCACAAAATTAAACATCAAAAAAGCCTGTACAGAATAGTGTCTAATATCAAGTGAGACAATATACGGACTATATGATATTACTACATGTACATATATATAGTTTGGCAAGTATGCCACATTGTTTATTAAGATTTAAGACAAAAATATAAAAATAAAAAAAAATAAAAATGAATTAAGTTAATATAAATAGTATCATGGGCACTGGACTCACATGGTGTTGCTCAAAAGTGAATGATGGCTAGAATGGCAGAAAATAGGCAAGCTTTTGAACCAAGAGTCATGGGGGAGTTTTTCTGTATTGATATTGAACAAAAATAACTTAAAACGAGAATCTTATCGACATATGTTTTAAGGCAAATGGTCCAAAAGGGGATTTCACGAGACAGATGGACAAATCAATGTTAACTAAAATGGGTGAAAATAAAAAAAGAGGAAACTTTTTGCTGATTTTTTGAAACAAAATTATTTTATACAACTACTCTATACAGCGACATGGCTTTTTACAATGCAGGACACCTGAAATTATTTGTAAAGCTAGGAAATGGGCCAAAAGTGCATTTCGTGAGAAAAAAAGGCGACTATTTTGAAAAGGCGAACTTTCAGTATTTTATTTTAATTTAAAGAGCACTCAAAGAAAACAGAAGAACCTGGCAAACTGAAACTCACACTTATCTTCTCGATAGAATAGTGTCTCCCATGCATGGTACATACATGGTATAATGCAGTTTAACATCATTGTACATAGGAGCCATCATCTCAGTATCAAATTTTATAGCCATCACATTAGACTCTAGTGACTGTCATCAAAACTATCCAATCAGATACATGTTGTCTACAGGCTGATAGAATGCTATATTGATATTCCAATAAAATGATCACAAACTCTGGTAATTTCAAGAAATGTTGACACTCTCCGATTTGAGATGACAGTCAATTGTAGCACCTCGTGAAAACTAGTTCAACAAGTTAAACCTAGTCTGGGCCTTATTTCTTATCTGACATATCTTGTGGCCCGCCCTAGGTTCAATGTCTGTGCCTATTCGGGCTAGACTATATCCTATTTAGTCTGAATTATATTCAGACTATAAGGCACCTATGTTAAAGTTTGGTAAATCTAAATATTTGTTTACATAGGAAGTGCTATTCAAAATGGCCGATTGGGTAAAATTAATTTGCACATTTGTTACTTCAACTAGCTTTATTTCCACTTAACAATATGCTGTGTTACTTTTTATTGCATTTAATTGTACCTTACTATTTAATTGAAATTTTGTAATGTTTATTTTATTGAAGAAATGGTTCCTCCAATTGATAATTTTGTGCAAAAAATTTCACTGCAATTTCCACAGGAAAGTAGTACATCATAACAGATTGACGTCTAGTCAGTCTGTTGGATACATACTACTATTCGGGCCTTGATGCAAAAAAATTAATGGTGGCCTATGGCAGCGCATGGATCGTGAGAATTTGCAACCAATGAAAGCAAAGCACGGAAGTTAAACCCAATCACGGCAACAAGAACATTCAGATTAATAAATGAAAGCCGTGGCATTGGGTTCAACTTGTTGAACTATGTGAAAACAAGATTGCTGCATTCTGTGTTGGAGGGGTGTCTTGAAATCGGAATCAATGCTCAGTGACAAAACATAAGACATTTAGATAAAGATGTATTGAAACTTTAGAAGAATGAAGACACTGATTATATAAGTTTGCAAAATATTGAAACAAATAATAAGGACAATCACTTACGCTTCCGTGTTGTTGTTGTTGTGGGACTTCTCGTATTTTCAGAAGAGCCTGGGAATTTCCAATCTTGTGCAAATTTCATTGCGGATTCACGTAACGCAAGGACAGGGGCAGGCCAATCGCCATTGCTGTTTACGGATGGACTGTCAATCAGAGCCTCTGGAGTAGTTGGTTTCGCAGATTTTGTCTCTAATTCGACGTTTTGGGGAATTGTTTCCCCGGAAGCTGACATTTTGTGATAGGCGTCACTCGACAAATGAGATTGCCTGACACATTTCCAATATCTTTTGAACCAATCAGATCATTCGTACTATTTTGTTTGGATGAAACATTTATTTTTTGGAAAATATCAAAAACAGGGAAACTCTCGGAGATAATCATGTCTGCTATGACATTTGGTCAGAAGAAATTTAATCCAACTCCACCAGAGAAGGGTAGCTTTCCATTGGACCATTTGGGTTAGTCTTTCTATTGTGAACAACGGAATTATTAGAATTATATTTCTTTCATAATATTTGTGGGTGATAATAGACATTCGTAGTATGAACTTTTATACGAAGAAGAAGAATATCACAAGAGATTGTTGTTGTTGTTGTAGTGTATTTAATGCTTTTTCCTCATCAGTTAGTCACTGTGTACTTTGTTTGTCTGTCACTGTGTACTTTGTTTGTCTCTCGGTGCAACCACTCTGTACTTTTCACTTGTTGAGATGTGTCATTTAGGACTACAGTGGGGATCATAAAGAATTGCAAAAGCTATGAAAATTACATGCTGTCGCACATGTAATAGAGGGATCTCTGTAACATCCACGACGAGTGTCTCATTATTTTGAGAATTGTATTTTTATTATTACGATGACCAATCTCAATTCTAGTATTTAGATATATCTCTGTGGTGATGCTATGAACTTATTGTAGTAGTCTCGGTATATTTCATTTCATCAGTCTAATACTAGCTTTTTTCTTTTTTTTAAAAAAAACCTTCATGGTTTTCCGCCAAAATTCACGTTTAAGAAATTATCATTCGAGTAATCCGGCCTTTAAAAAATCAAAACTTTGTAGCTTAGTAATTAAAATTTTTTTATTACAATGAATCATTAGTGTGAGAATGTTAAATTAAATGTGTAATTTAATTAAATAATATTAATTAATAACTGCTGTGATTTGATTGGTCGACTGCAGAGACATCTTTTAAGTAAACAAGATGGCGATTGGATGTCGATTTGTCGTGACTGTGGGTTGCTCACTTAAACCCAGCTGCGGACACAAACCCTAGAGATTGACAGCTATTAACAAGCAGATTGTTTCGTCAATAAGATATTTATGTACATAATCTGAAAATTTTAGACACGATCATGGTGCATATGGTGAGATTGAGCTGTTAGAGTAGAGATTTGGATGTTGGCAAAGAGAGCGTATTTTACTTACATTATACAGTGAGGGGGGTTTAAATCTTCTTCCTGGGCCTATGAGTATGATTATTTTATCAGATTGCACAAGGGCAAAAAAACAAAAAATATACATGTACACCCAACACAAGTGTAATAACAAAGTAACAACCTGACCCAAATTTGTGGACATTTGTTGTACAAACTAGAACCGAACCGATCATAGAAAAGCAATTTAAATCATGGAAATGAAGTACTCCCCTCAATGAAAAACTGAACCAAGTAAAAACTGAACCTCGATCAGATTGCCCGAATCTAAGATTGGCTGTGATAAGTCAGTTGGAGTCCAGGACTATCACTGTTCATCAGAGCTGAGGCAGGGGAGATACAAATTTGCAGAAAACTAAGAAGAATTAATAATTTTGGATTGGCTTCCCAAATATCTTCACTATGCTCACAGGGAATATGCCACCGACTTTCCCTCCCCACTGGGGGGTTCAATGTATACAAACTTTGCCAGGGGTCCTACATTAACCAATTTGTATTGGCAGTTACATGTAAATAACACCCCCATACCGAATCTCCAAATATTGGACCAATCTCATACAACATGTAAAATAAATGTCCAAACATTGGACCATTCCAAAAAGAGGAACTATGCCAAAGGTCCAAATACAGGACCAATACCATTTATCAGGATAGGCAGATTAAAATGGTTACCATCCATACTAGACCCCCTCCATTATCTAAAATGTTTCATTCAAGTTTTTACTTTGCAGGTGAGTGCAAGGCACAGATGGTGAAATATATGAAATGCCTCAGAACTCACAAAAATGAAAATTCAAAATGTCGACTAGAATCCAAGGAGTATCTTCAATGCAGGATGGACAAGTATGAATATTTGTCATTATTACCTCTCTGTCATGTGTCATGTTTCTCATTCATTGATTGGTTGGACACATGTCATATTTTGAAATATAGAACTTTTACATGTTACCTGACTGCTTTTTTGGTCACATTATCAAACAATTGAAACTGCCATTGTCTGAACCAATGATGATATATATCCATTTTATGAAGGTCCTTGCCATACTGGTATTGTCAGCATTAAGCCTACAATTGCCTTATTTGAGAAATCAGCATCTTTGATGTTCAACTATCACATTCATGATTTTATCATATTGTGAGCCCTGCAATGAATGGTGCTATTTTTCAAATGTGAGCTTTTACTCAATTCTGCCATTTTCATTATTATTTTCATTATAATAGAACTACTGTACATGTATAAATAATGCTAATATATACCCTTTGTTGATCTTATCTGATTTTTCTTTCAGTGATTTGATGAAAAAGGAAGATTGGAAAAAATTGGGACTGAATGATATTGAAAATGTATCAAAAGATGAATCGGACAATTCCAATAAGTCTAGGTGATGTGATCAGTTAAGGACACCACATATTTTGAGGAACAGGAGCACGCTCCAACAGAGATCTCTGCAGCGATGGACTACAATGAATTTATGGCACCTACAAAGATATCTTTGATTTGTACTTGCAATTTTTGCAAATTCAATTTTTAATTTTGAAGTATTTTATTATGTCAAAATTATTCACTATTTCACTAATGTTTTCCATTGGTATTCACATTAAATTGCAAAGGACCAGGTTTAGTATGGCAAGTGATGGCGGACTATTTTAGAAAAAGAGAATCTTGTTTTCCTCATTTTTACCTATGTAGATTATACAAGAGATTGTATAATTGTTGTATTTATTAGTGGAGGGACTCACACTCAAAACCCATCTCGAGTCAGAACTCGGGGAAAACTTTGGAATCGAGTATTTTACAAGTTTTACAGGAGAATCCCACCACTAATATTTATTGTCAGAATATAGTCATGATCAAGGATATGACTGTTTTTAATAACTTGTCAAACCATACCTGTTCCTTTGTACAGTTGCAATATTAAAAGTCACAAATGAAACAAGAAGGTCTGTACAACATGTCATATAAAAAGACCACTTGTTCAACCTTTTTTCTTAGCTTTCTGACTTATGATTTGGTTTCCCTTTATTGTAGAGCAGCATTTATAAAATAGAACTTAGTCACATGATGGCCACTTTTTCAAGGAAAGGTTCTGCTAAAGAGACCTCTATGCTGTAGGGACCTTAGCAAATTCAGTTAATTCAACATAATTCAACATCCCAGTATCATATCGTGTAGGCTAGTCCTTGATTGTCTGAGTGAAATTATCATATTTTTCAGTATTTGATTTCGTGAGTTTTGCTTATGCTGTTATATTAGATAAGCTTTAATGTTTTTGTCTGGGTCATTTCTCCATGTAAATACCTTGTAGTACTAAATACTGTAATTGTACATAATGTAAATGAAATAAAATATGTACATGTACCAAAATTCTGAGTTTTATTTGGGACAGTGTGAAGGAGAACAAAAATAGAAGGCAGTTGTTTGTTTTGCACTTTGTGTTTGATTGGTATGGGTGTAAATAAAACTTCATGAGTTTTTTATGTCACCAGCACAAGTGGTGACATACTGCATGTACTGTTATAGTCTCTTATCTTTTGCAGTTTTGTGGATGGTGTTTGGTGGTGGGCATCTGTAACAAATGGCATATGGTGACATTTTGCATGTTAATGCCTTGTTCATTTCTATAAGCTAGTTATCTCAATGAAGGATCATGATGTCCAGCCCCAATTTTAAATCATTCTTGCAAAAGATGACAAATGCCAAGGGAACATACTTAATGGTGTCATTTTGGGCCTCTATATGTAAAAAAATATTGGTGAAAATGTAAACTGAAATAAACACTTTAAAAATGAGGACAAGTGGCTACTTATTTTCTCATCAGACCAGACCTCTAAATCAAAAACGCCAAATTGCTAAAGTGGGGTTAAAAGGAATAAACTAACCTTTGCTTCAAATAATGGCCAACTCATAGTTGCCATAGAAATCAAATAATTTCATTATCATCTATGAATGTATGGCAAAAGGAACAATGTACACGAAGACAAGTTTTTTTACCCTGAGAAGGTCATTGAATTTTAAATCTCAAATCTAAAGTCAGAAGTCTTGTAGATGATTTTGAAAAAATGGTCAATTTGAAGCAAGTTGAAAAAATACCTTTTTGATCTTGAGAAGGTCATTGAAGGTCAAATCTTTTTTAACCTTTTTGACATTTCTTTGACCTTGGGAAAGTCATTGAAGGTCAAATCTTAAGTCAGATTTGAAATTCTGGTAACTTGCAGATTTTGGAAAAAAAATTGGTCAATTTGAAGCAAGTTGAAAAAAAACTTTCGACCTTTTTTACCTTTTTGACCTTGAAAAGGTCATTGAAGGTCAGATCTTAAATGTAAAGTCAGATTTGAACTTCTGAAAACTTGTAGATGATTTGGAAAAAAGCTGAAGTCAGTCTAAACTGTATTTGTTAAGTTATTTGAAAATTTGTTACTGATGCCACCTGCCACCCGCCTACACAAAAAAACGGAGACCATAGCAATATGTCTTCACTTCTTGGTGGTGACATTATAGAACATTCTTTCCTGAGATACACAAATACATCAGAGCTAGCAATTTAATAATTTTCTATTCAGCATTTTATTTAAGACACAATCTATTCATAATATATTAAATATTATAAATACACAACATCATAACATATAGATTTTAAATGCATATTTAGATTGGATAAAGACAACAATCGTCTGTTTAATTCTTTTCACAATACAATATAGTCAAGTTACAGGCCTCTGTGACCCCCCCCCTCTACTTGACTAAACACCCTCTAACACAGAGGGCTTGCAAGGCCTTGCAGCTAGACTAAATACAATATAACATGTATCTATTTCTGTACATACTGAATTTTAGTGAATATTGTTTATCAAAAAAGAAACAAATGTAAAAGGCAATTCCAAGTTTTGAGAAAAGTGTAACACTTGGAAAGCTGACTCTGACGTATCAGTTGCAACAAACATTATCACATTTTGGAACATTAGGGTGTCAAATAAGTCCCGTCCCCCCTGCTACAGCTAAAACCTTAACAGAAGGTACCTAGTGTGATATACCATTGGAAAGATTATCCACAGTTATGTTAACTCACCAACTCTCAAGTATTTTGGATGAAATTTACCTATATTTTTATGATGTCTTTTAAAATTAACGTGCCCTCCTTTAAGTAGCTTTTTTGCGTCAAAATGACAAGGATATGACCTCAGAAATACATCAAAAAGTTAATCTTTTTCACATTCCACTTCTTACAAAAAGGTTTTCACCACTTTCCTTGTGCCTCTATTTTCTGCAAATCTAACCCTATCCAGAAATAGGTTAAATTCATCGCCATAAACATATTTAGTCATATTTTGGTCCCGTGACCTTTCTTATACACGATTCTTAAAATCGTGCAAAATATGCCAAATTGCCATGTTTCTAGGCATATGGTAACCTCAATTGATACAATGTAAAAATTTCTGAGATTGATTGACATGTGTCAGATATATGCCAATCAACGTAACTTTGGAAGACCTTTCCAATGATATATCACACTTGGTATCACATGTCTTGGTTTTGGCTGTAGAGGGGGGGACGGGACTTATTTGACACCCTGTAAATGCTACAGACTTGTATATTGTGAAAAATGGATCAAAAGTGAACATGGGTATTTTGAATACAGACTGACAAAGTGACTGGATAGTGATAAAATCAAGTAAATGCAGTGCAAGATTGAATTCAAATACCTGAATAAACCGGATTATCACATAATTCTTCACATCAGCTATTATAATTTATCATGCATTAGCTTTTCAATTGATATACTAGATGGTTTAGTTGACACTCTAGCTTTCTGTAAGGGTGGTATATTGGCCCGCACACCAAGTTTATAAAATGCTACTGCTTGAAATAAACATCTTGTTAGGAGTTCCTTTCCAATATTGTCATAACTCATATACTGTGTCATAATATCCTTAGGAATTGGTACATTTTCTCGACTGATGACATCATCGAGAAGAAGTCTACTACTGACTCTCTCACCACCGAGATTCAAATTGAAATATTTTTGAACCGCATATGATTTTATAGTGTAGACTCGGTTTATATCAGAGTTCCATTCTGATTGGTTTCCCTGATGACGCATATTAAGCATTGTAGTGATGATAGCCTGGATGATTGCATTGTTAACCTGGTAGGGTATCTTCTGTAGGTTTGTATAGCCCTGTGGTATCAGCTCATATGAGTACATGTCAGCCTCAGGCAACATGGATACAACTCGGGATAACTGAAAAATAAAGCCTGTACATGGAGCATTTGAATAATCTTTAAATGTGTATTTGCAGCCGATTTGGTAAAAACAAATTGTTTGAAAACAACAGGCAATAGGCAACATGATAGAAAAATCTACAGTCAATTTGGTAAAAACAAATTGTTTCAAGTAAAAAACCCTACATGTTGAATGCACCAGTTTCTGCCCCTTTTCCAATACCTGTGTGAAAGAGAGAGTGGAGGGTGCAATAAAATTACCGTTAATGCAATATTGAAGAATCAAAGTCCTAACCTGTGTCTGATATTCCGCATGGTCATAGCGGGCGCTGTATTGTTCAAAGAAACTTTCCTGTTCCCACTGTATGACCCTCAGATCAGAATCCATGTGCACCCAGCTTATGTTGTCAAGTCTAATCTCCATGGCAACCAAAGATTTAATATTCTGAAATAACAAGCAATCGTGTGGTTACTGAGAAATTGAAACCGATTATAAAGAGCAGAGATTCAAATGAACAACTAAAATTTGATGTGTAAAAGGTCAACATGTGTGCCATAACTTGTAGATGATTTTGAAAAACAAATTGGTCAATTTGAAGCAGGTTGAAAAAAGGCCTTTTTTAACCCTTTTTACCTTGAAAGGTCATCGGAGGTCAAATCTTAATTCTAGAGTCAGATTTGAACTTCTGAAAACTTATAGATGACTTTGAAAAAAATTAAAGTCATTCTAAACAGTATTTGTCGAGTTATTGGAAGTAGTAAGAAATTGTTACAGAAGCCGATCACCATCCGCCGATCGCCGTCACAAAAAATGGAGACCATAACAATGTGTCACTTTTTGGTGGAGACATAAAAACTAGAGCTTTTTGCTTCTTTAAAAAATAAAAGTCTGTCCTCAAAACAATTCTCTATGTTAATTTTATGTCTCAAGTTGAAAAAAGATTACTAATAAGTAATATATAATGCTCAACCACTTAACCGCATTAATAGTGTAAAATAAATGAAATCAAAAATTTGTAAAAATCTAGCTTACGAGCTTAACCTATTCCCTGGTGTCAGTAGTTCTTGAGTAAAATGACATATATGAGAGTAAGCAACTCATGATAGTGGGTATCATAATTTAAAACCAACCTTGCATTTTTCAGGTGTAAGGGGAGGATTCACATCTGAGGCACTTGCCCTTTTAGGTACACGTTCAGCTTGTGTATTGTACAACAAGGCATCACACACTTTATAAAGCTTGATGTTTGTAAATTTGGGCACCTCTGCAAGTGTATATAGTGATTCAAAAGGTCCTCGCACTTTCCTGGCCTGTACGAGACTCACTGCCTTCGGCTTGCTAAACCATTTCAAGGTTTCAAAGTCTTGGACTTGATATGTATTAATTTTCTCTAAAATTTTGCTTGATTCTTGGGCAGAGTATCGTTCCTCTAACCGTTCACTCTTTTTGTTGGGAGGTAGCTTTGATGTTGTATTTTGTTCACTGCTGGTGGAAGAACATAATCGGAAGCAAGATGGTGATACCTAAAATCAAAAAAAAAAATTGAATTAGCAATTTTTTGTCAACTAATCATTCTACAATTGAAGGATTAGTTACTCAAAAAGGAAAAATGCACAAAAATTTGAACCACAAAAATGGAACTTGTGCAGATTGCCTCTACTCTGATAATGGAAAATTGAAAAACATTTATTTCTATCAGAGTTTGGGCTTATGCTCCATGATCACAAAAATAAAGCATACAGAGCGTGAATGTTTACTAGCTTCTCGTAGGTAAGGACATGACAGTCTCATTCTTTATCTGAGTCTTATTTGTTTAATAAGAGTCTATACCAATGCAGTCAGACTGGGAAAAAAGTAATAAAGTCATCTTCTACATTTCTAGCACCTTTCATCTCAGTCTCAAGAAGTCTTAGTTCTGTCATATATGAATGGTAACCAAAATCATAACTTCACATCAAGATAAAGAAAGGGAGATCCTATCTGTTGCAAGACTTATGCCTGGCACAACCGTCACCATGTTACAAAGTGTTTTTGAGTTTCGCAAGGATCTCTGCCATGACAGTAGTCGTTTTTTATCGTGATAGCCTGATATAACCGTGACAGTTCTATATTATATTGCATGGCCTGTCATGACCGTGGTAATGTTAAAGCATGATATATATACAGGGTGGGCCAAAAAAAACCAATACCCAACTTCAAATCATGATAAAAATAGTTACATTCAATATGGTACATTGACTTACATATCATTTTAAAGGTTATACAATTGCAAACAATTTGGTATATAACACTATGTCATGAAATCAATAGTAAAGTTTTATTATACTTATTTGGGAGGCCGGGTTGCTATTTAAGGTCTCCAGATTTAAGGGAGAAAATAGTAAATCTGCGGAATTATGTTAATTTTTTATTTATAGAATATCATTCTTTTGTTAGGTGAATACATGCCTGGATATTGATATTTGCATTATTGTGTGACTAAATTTATTGTTTATGAATTTCAGTGTTGTTTAATAACATTTTACACTTTCTTTATTTAAACAATTTTAACAATTGCTCAATATACCCCCACCCCTCCCCTCTGCATCAACAATAAGCATCAAGTGGTAGCGCAATCTATCAATAGCCTTATTGAGAGATTTCTGTTACAATTCATCTCAGCACTTTAGGATTCTGTTTCAGCTCATCAATGCTGTTTATTGGATGCTTTTGATTGTACCATTTCCTTGAGATGGCTCCATGTATGATAATCAAACACATTAGCATCGGGGCTAGCAGTTGGGTGGCCAAGCTTCGAGATCAATCAAATTGACACCTTGTTTGCAAAGAAATGCCAATGTCTCCTTTGATCTATGGTACGAGGCAATGTCTTGTTGGAAAATAAAATCACGTATACGTTTAATGTCTTTAAATAGACCCCCTTTGAGTACTTGTTGATAATAAACAACACTAAAATTCATAAACAATAAGTTTAGTCACACAATATGCAAATATACAAGCATGTATTCACCTAACAAAATGATATTCTATAAATAAAAAATGAACATTATTCCGCATATTGACTATTTTCTCCCTAAAATCTGGATACCTTAAATAGCAACCTGGCTTCCCAAATAAGTATAATAAAACTTTACTATTGATTTCATGACATAGTGTTATATACCAAATTGTTTGAAATTGTATAACCTTTAAAATGATATGTAAGTCAATGTACCATATTGAATGTAACTATTTTTATCATGATTTGAACTTGGGTATTGGTTTTTTTTGGCCCACCCTGTATATTGCCACAGTCATATAAGGCTTTAACATTACCACGGTCATGACAGGCCTTGCAATAGCATTGCCACGGTCATATCAGGCTTTAACATTACCACGGTCATGACAGGCTTTGCAATATAATATAGCATTGTAAGGGTTATGCCAGGCTTTCACGATAACAATAGTGTTGTTGCGATGTGCCATAATCATACATCGATGCATCGGCAATTTTCAGTAGTAAACATCGATGTACATCGAGAAAAAGTCTGAGAAAAGTGCACTGAAATACCGAACGCAAATGCACTGAAATACCGAACAGAACAAATTAATAAGAGTACGCTGGTACATCCGGGAACTTCTAGTAACGGTGAAATAAAAGTGAAGTAATTTTTTTAGATTAATGGTTCATTTCGACTAGCTAAAACAGTTTTAAAGCGAAAGAATATCAGAAAACATTGGAAAATGAAATAAAACATGAGAAAGGTAAGCGATTTGCGTCAAAATAAGATATGAAAGGATGATTTTTAGCAAATTATTTTTTTTTAAAAACAGTGATGTTTTGTTTCAGACATCGATGCATCGCCAGAATCAGCTTTGGCGATGTATATCGCGATGTATCCATTAATCGCGACAACACTAGATAACAATACCACTGTCATGGCAGGATCGTTGCGAAACTTCAAAACGCTTAATAACATGGTGACGGTTGTGCCAAGCATAAGTCTTGCAATAGATAGCATGTGAAGAAAGGTGTATGGAATATGTTTACATCAATAAAACATCACATCGAAGTGGAGTATTTGGAAACTAGCCGGTGAAAATTCGAATAATCGAAGCTGGTAAGCAAGAGAGGTAATTATGTCCGTCATCTCCATAGATCCCGGCCAGATTCTTTTGTAGTAGAATCAGTAGCTCAATAATATTTCCTCAAGATGAGACACCTCAGAAAATTTCAAATTTTAAAATGACGATTCTGGAGCCATTTCTGAAAAATATGAGACAAATCATACCTCATTCGAAGGGTCTTGTTATTCTTTACCTTTTTTATCACCAATGGCCGTTATTCAAGCAATACTGCGTTGATAAGAGGCCAAAACAGTGATATTTTATCGCCGGACTCTTGTCTGTCCAAATCTGAATGTTGCTCCCGTGGTTCCAGAAATGTGACGTCATCATTACAATGATATTTGGACACACAAGAGTCCGGATTTCGTGAAAAATATTCGCCGTATTGAAAGTCAAATAACTGCATCCATAGGTTATTTACTCGAACCAAACAAGTAGAAATAGAAAGATGAAGATCTCAGCTATAAAATAAGTGCAAAATCTGTCACGGGGAAACAGGTACCATTTTGTATAAGGAACGTTTTGAAAGGTGGTCACTTTTTTTCGAAATTTTCCAATTTACTACTTTTTGCAAGGCCTGACTTCGTCGCTAACATGCTAAATATAAGAGTTAGCTGACGTTTGGGAGTCTGACTTACCTTCTAAAGGTTAGAACCCGAATCTTAATGAAACCATATCACCTTTGTTGTGTCGATGATGATGCATAAACATAGCATTTGATAGAAATTAGTGTAAATGCTTTTCCGACTTTTTCATTTTTCATCAATGTTGACTTTTGGGAAGGCGTTGTAGTTATCACGAAATAACGCATTGACCCTTGAACTTTACTTTGTTGACGTGTCAACCAAGCATGTCTGGTGTGAAAATTAAAAGAATATTAAGCAATGTTCTACATCCGCCAAGCTAAGTGAAGTAGCCAATATAAAATTACCAGTTTCGAGTGAAGTACGCAACGAACGAAACTGCGTGATCTACAGTCCCACTATTTGTCTGAACGAAATGCTACGTAGAAATATGAGCCGTCTGCTGTATTAGTCGATTAATAGAGTAAGACCTGTTGGTGATGCTTTATAATTTAGACCAAAACATTGAAGAACATACGAACCTGTAAATCGTGAAAACAACGAACAAATATTCGGTTTTCATATATGTTCGGTAATTTTTCGTATTGAAACTTCCGGAACTTACAAGGAAATCATTCATTTTCTCGGTCCATGATTTACCTCTTGGATGTTGTGGCAAATGCTCCATGGTTGACGGAACAAAGGTGATATGGTTTCATTAAGATTCGGGTTCTAACCTTTAGAAGGTAAGTCAGACTCCCAAACGTCAGCTAACTCTTATATTTAGCATGTTAGCGACGAAGTCAGGCCTTGCAAAAAGTAGTAGTGTCGTATCTTCTGTATTATTCTTTGAGCCTATGATCCTACTACAAAACGATCTGGCCAATATCTGTGGTCATCTCTAAAGCTCTGGGGTTTTCCCTCCTCTTGGCCCTGGGTGTAAAGCCTCAAATTTTCTTTGATTCAAAGTTTGAATAAAAAAATGAAAATCCACAGAACATTCAACATGGAAATTTGCGAAAAATAACAAATATTTACCATAAGTCCATTGTTAGATCGAACTAAAAATAATCCTTGAAGTAATCGTATGTTTCTTAACATGTTGAGGAGATCAGCATCTACCGAATATCAACAAAAATTAATCACAAAATCGAAAATAACTTCCAAGTTTTTCTGCCGGAAGTGAAATACAATAATTTGACAAGAATTAAACTACTCTATTATTTTAATTTTGTGTTTCAATGCTTTCTTATTTTTATTTTCTCGAATAAAAGCCCTTCAGTTATATCAATTGCTATCTAAAATGATGATATTATATAATTTTACTCTTTAGTACAAATCAATAATCTAGAGTGAAAATGTTTCGTCATGGTTTCAAGGCGCCATCTAAAAACAAATCAAACTTTGCAGAGGTGAGCAGATTTCTCCACAAATAAGAGAAAACATAGAAGAAACCTGTGTACAGTGGGTGCCAAAATGCATCGGAATATATATTTTAAAGGATAATTCTAAGTATAATATAATTGATCACTATGGCTACGACTGCAATGTTTGTAGATCCTGATGCCAATTTGACTGACACACAAAAATGTATGAAAACCAGAGAATGGTGGGTTTTCCTTGGCTCAAGTCTCATAACTTTTGCCGCATGGGTAATTGTTGTTTTGATTTGGCGTGTCATTGCTTATCTATGCTGTCAAAAGAAATCAAAAAAAGTCATCAAGCAAGGAAGCCCTCAAAAGGGTGCTTTCTTGAAAACTGCCGATCCAGAAATAGGATGGATGACGGAAGCAAAAGATTGGGCTGGAGAGTTGATATCTGGACAAACAACAACAGGAAGAATATTGGTGAGTTTTTAAAAAATTTATTGATTTCATCTTACGAGATTTCACACATTCTCCTACTTATTTGACAGAGTCGGGCATGTTTTATGTTGTTAGGGACACGGGGGGGGGGAAGAATCAGAGACTCGTCAAGTAGATGGAGCAATCAATTCCATGGGACACGGGGGGAATCAGAGACTCGTCAAGCAGATGCAGCAATCAATTCTATAGGCGGAAGTTTTTGATGTCTATTACGTGGTGGAAGCAGATTTAAATTGAACCAATGATATTTATTTGATTTGGCAGCTTATCAAGATATCCCTAGATAATTTATAATTAAAGTCTAATAGCCAAAGAGAAAATTGGTTATGAATAGAGCAATCAAATAAGTGTAGCTAAATCCTCACATCTAATGCTGAATCACATTATGTTCAGGAAAGCTTATACCATCCAAGGCCAAAAATAAATTGCTAACATAGATGAAGAGGTACATACATGTAGCTATATTTATATTTACAAGGTAGATGCTAAGTATACATGATGAAGACCTTCTAGCAAAAGTATAGGTTATATAACAAATAAGCTTCAAAGTAAAGGTATAAGAGGAAAACATTTGCTCAGTAATTATATTAAGACTAAATACCCTCTCTCCATTCCCCCATTCCTACAAGTTAAAGTAGAGAAACAATCAAACAGATTACAGTAGTAAGGTTCAAATCAGAGACTTGATACGAAAGTAGCTCACATTAAAATTAATTAATTGATGAAAATTAAAGCTACTATTTTAATTGTTTGTAATTAATGAGGACTCAGCGTTTAATCACAAGTCCTGTAAAATCATATGTTAACCTTAGAGGCTAGTGTGGCAGCCAATATGATATCAGGGTAAAGGGTGTCTTTCTGTCTGTCAGTTGTTTGCATGATAATAATAACTATATTCAGTATTGTTGAATAAGATAAGTAATTAATAATTCAACATGTAGCGTGTATCATTAAATGCACCTAGATGAGATTTTGAAAATTAGGAACATCTCACCCATCCAAACAAATAGTTCTCTGAAGAAATACAACCATCTTTTTTGCTTTGCATTTGCACCATAGAAATAATTTAATTTGAGATTTGGAGTGTAAGTAAACAACTATAACATTTTTACAACATGTCACAACATGCGAGTATATTATGGACCCTCAAAAAAATAAAATTAAGGTCGAGAATGTAGAAAGCACTTAAAGACAATAAACTTTTAATGTGATAATTGAAAAAGTTGTGAAATACTCCCATGTCTTAATGTTGACTTAGAATCAAGTATTTATCAAATTTTATTCAATCAAAAAAATTATTTACTGAAAATTTATATATAGCAATAGCAATTAATGTTGCCGTTTTTGTATTTATCAAGTTACAATATTGGGACACAGAGTCGACTCTTCACAATGTTTTAATATTTGATGAAGATGTTGAATGTCAAAGGCACTAAGTTTCATTTTCTAAGCCTCATCTTAGAGATCTCTAGAGAAGTTCATCTGGTAAGAGCTGTCAGTAAAAGATGATCCTGTGTCTTGAGACTGAATTTAACCATGGGCTTTCAAGAGAATTTCCTATAGGCCTATGTACCAGTAGTACAGCATCACATTTTTATGTTGTTATTGTTTCAATGTGTCGAATGATAATTCTTTATTAAATTATTACACAAATTTCTAGAAAAAACTTTTTATCCCAGCCTCAAGTACTCCCCAATAGTTCGATTTTGTTTCCTTAAAAGAGAGCTTCATCTCCCACCAATAGTCTTGTCTCAAAACTATACACCTCTCCCCCTTTGTACTCTACTTTTCATACAAAACAAGAGAAGGTGAAGTAAACAGGGGAGGGGGATACACAGTCTTGATACAAGACTATACCACTGACTATCATGTGTTTATTTATTTAGAATCATGTCCTTATTTATGTAGAACTTGTAACATTGTACCTGACTTGGATATTATGGATTATTGGTTGGGTGTCATATTTATGGAATATTGAACTGCTGACTAACAGACCACCATATGTTGCCGTATGTTCCACCTACTTGCATAGAATCTATATTATGGTCATAAAATTAATACCTCATTGCACTTAACATCAAACCAGATCTATGCTGAATATATGTAATTAATCTTGCCTCAAGACTAGTGTATACCCCCCCCTCTCCTATGTACTGTGTGCATTAGTCTCATTCTACTTAGTATATATTAAATAAAACATAATACTGATTATTAAATGTAGTGAAATATATTATTTCCATTAAACCATTTTCTGTTGGTCTATAGAATGTAACCAGTTCTACAGCAGATGTAAAGGGTCTTGTTACTCTAGCTATAAACGAAGCTCTCTTTTAAGAAGCGAAGTCAAACAAATGCAGAAAGACATCTTTTAAGTATATTGATAAAAAGCAGAAAAAATCAGGTCCTCATTTTTATATAAAATACGAAGCAGTGTATAGAGGTCGAATTATTTATACAGGTGATCTTGTTCTATTCCAGGATTAGCAACATTACATTATAATCCTCCTAATTCCCATCGCTCATCCACTTAACTGGATTACTAGGTCTAGTATTCCTATATTTCATGAATGTCCAGGTATTATCTCAAATAGTTTCCTGTAAGACCCACTTATAAACTAAATACTCCCTTACACAGATTATTTCACCTCTATCATGTATATTGAGTTCACCACAAAATTATATAAATTCTAATAACGTACATACATTAACATAATAGTGCTTTTCAGTGTTTTCACTATTTGATAGGATGTTCATGTTTAGAGTGAAGATAGTATGGATACTTTGCTTTGCCCTCTTTGATCATTTGATTTTTCTTACCTTCAAGATACTTACAGCATGGTAAACATGATCATACTTAGATATTTAATTAGCTACTAAGTTTACTACTTAACTTTCTGAAGTAAATCTTGGGTTTCTATGGTGCTGTGGTTCCCTTAGAAAAATTCAAGTTTTTCTGATAATTCATTTGAAATGCTATAAGTGCTTCAATTTTTGTAGACAATAAATAAAAGTAAATTATATGGCATGGGGTTTAAGATATAACGTTTATTCAAATTGTATCTCCTCAAAGATATCGAATCTGACAGCCATTTTAGTTATCATAAACTTCTGAAAGTTTCACTTTTAATTTGAAGTTTTCGAATAAAAAACTATTTTACTACCATCAGCCATTTTTCCATGTTTGATCAGATGATGGATAATGTGAATACTTCCAGCCTCTCAACTTGAGCTCAATCTAAGACGACGTGGGCTCACTGTTTGCCACCATGTGAAAACTTTTGGGCACCCGATAGGGCACGGCATAGATACACAGTTGGCAAAATAAATAGTTTTACAGCAAATATCACCCATGACACCAAATACAAAAAATAATTCAATTCAAAATTAATGCCCCAAAATTAGCTAGACGGTGATGAACGGAGAGCCCACATGGCTAATGTGACAGCTACTTTATTTTTTACCTCGCTATCCTTCTCATCTTCTTGGTTAAGCGTGACCCCTGCTACCTCATTCTCATTCTCTATAAATAACTGAATGAGGAATGAGTGGTAGATATCAGTAAAAGCTATAGGTTCATTAGTACACTGTACATTATCTTTCAGTATTCCCTATCCAGTTCTCATTGCCACAATTTCATCATCAATGTCAATCTGACCTTCATGATTGATGGTAACGAATACAATAAAAGCAATTTATCTTAATATATATAATGTCATTCAATTGTTCAAGCAATTTTCTCCTCGATTTATGCTACAGTTATCTGGTCAATACAATAATGTTTTAGATAAATTCACTATGTGGCATTCTTATTATGAAAGACTTGTTTTCCCTTGTAAATCAGTTTTAATGTTCGAATTACCCTTAGTGTCTGTCGGCTGAGCCTAATGGGTCTAATGCTGAAGCCAGATGATGTAGGTGATTGAACCCCTCTTTTAAACAAGCAAATCAAGTTATTTGAAAGGGCATGTTGTATCTTTTATAACATGTATTTGACTTTTTGTTGCGGCTCATTGATGAGGGGAATTAACGTAAATGAGTTGGGATGAATTGTACTATACCAAGTATCTTAATTCTTGGTCCAAGGGTATTTCAATTAATTTCATGAGTTGAGACAGCGATGCCCGATCTCGAAAGATGAGCTTACTGTCAATGTGATAGATAATGAGGGGAGAAATACAGATGCAGGTTTTGCAGGACTATGTGATGAGCATCAAACAATCTGAACCATTTAAGTAGGGCTACAGAAGGAAATGCCTATGTTTACTAAAATCACCCATTTTGAGGAATTTTGTAATTCTATTAAACTGTCAGCTATTTTTCCTTTTTTTTGCTTATATTGCCTGAAGTCAGAAATGCTATTGAAACTTGTAACAATGAGGTATAACTGTTGAACAATGACTATAAACTCAGGATATGTATTGTGCTCTTTGGTTATTGAACTACCTAAGGTCAAAGTGATCCCGACTAGCTGCTGCAAGCTAATTGTTATGCAGAGACAATATTGTTGCCGTGTAACTGCATCTAGGAAACACTTATATACCTGTTTCAATCTATTTTATTGAGTCAGCTTCATCTGTCCTGACTTATTGAGGGGAATTGACATTTTGACTGAAAAGCAGGGGGATAAGGAAGGATACCTTTATTTTTCTGTCCAGATCATCTGTCCATTCATACAACTGGATTAGATCTAATAAGTTTCCTCTGGCAGGTAGTTGACAGTTTCCCGTCCCACCCATGCGTTTATACATTGCTAGCCTATAAAACATATTCTGCGAGGGTCTGATCAAAACCCTTGAAAGCTTAAGAGTTAGTATTTTAATTTCTTTTATCAAATGAATTTCCTTTGCATTTGATTGACCCAGACTCTTCATACCATTTGATGATTTGCAAGTCTACAGACATAGGCCACTTACTTGAATAAAGAGTCTCTCAAAAGTGTAATGTCATTACCCCATGTTGAAGGGTAAGCATCTTCAGTCAAG